GTGCGCCGCGCGCGCGCCCGCGAGCGCCTCGCGCGCGCCGGCGCCCGCGGCCTCGGCCGCGGCGAGGGCCTCGCGCAGCCCCGCGACGACCGCGCCGCCGCGGTCCGCCTCGTCCCTCGACGCGTCGCGGAGCTCGCGGAGCTTCCCGTTCTCGGCGAGGAGGCCGTCGCGGAGCGCGGCGAACTCCAGGCCCTTGAGGCGCAGCTCCTCGCGCGCGACGCGCGCGGCGCCCCGCGCCTCGTCGACGAGCGCCGCCTCGCGCTTGACGCGCGCCTCGGACGCGTCGAGCAGCTCCGCGTTTTTGGCGCGCGTCTCCTCCAGCCGCCGTCTCAGGTCGTCGAGCTCGGTCTCGAGGTCCGCGGCGCGCTCGAGGCCCGCGAGCGGGTCGCGGCTTCGGAGCTCCGCGTTCTCGCGGCGCAGCGCCGCGACCTCGGCGCCGACCTCGTCGAGGAGCGCGGACTCGGCGTCGAGCTCCGCGAGCTCCGCGCGCCCGAACTCCGACACGGTCCGCGCGTTCGCCGGCCGCTCGGGCTCGAGCGGGTAGGGCGCCGCGGCGGACAGCGCCTCCTCGATGGCGTCGATGGCCTCGATGGACGCCTCGGCCGACGCCGCGTGCGCGCTCTGGCGTATGCTCCGCGACCGCTCCGACGGCGACACGAGCAGGCTCGGCGCCTCCCGGCGCTCGTCGTCGCCGTAGGTCGCCTCGAGGTCCCGGTCCATCGCGGCGCAGCGCTGTGCGGCTGCCTCGCTGCCGCCGCGCGGTGCGCTTGGTGGTGGAACTAGGGGCTGCCCGAGCCGCGCGCTGCAAGATCGATCGTTTTAGCCATCTTGCGGCTGGTGGTGAAGAAGTTCCCGGGCGCTCGCGCAGCTCTGTATTGGCGAAAGCAACTTAGAAGTCTATGGCAGTTTGAAGTCTCTGGCTACGGTATTGGCAACCCTAGTGAGTGCGGGTCGATTTTCTCCGCCCAGGTCGTAAGGAGCGGATAGGGCACCACCGCGCCAGTGCGAGCGTACTCGCAGTCTTCGTCCAGAGTGTAGTGCACTTTGTTCGCGAGCTCATTGAAGACGATCGTCATCTCAGAAGAATTGAGATCGGCGATAAAGCCACTAGGGTTGTATGAGGCTCCAGGGGCCGGTCGCACGGCTCGCTTCGAATTCAAAGATGTCATGAGATCCAGCCTGTCAACAGTCCCTCCTCCTGCCGGATTGTGCGTCGTAGTGAGAACAGCTGCAAATGTCGTGGTTTCTTCCCCCTCGCAACACGAATGAAGTTGCGTGTTTCTGCCCTCAGCCTCGAAATTGTAGTGTTGAGCGGGGTCATTGTAACTTCCGATGCACTCGTCAAACTCAAAACGTCCCATGAAGAACATCGCTTGATCATTATCGCGTACAGCGACGACGTAGAACTCGAGCCGACGGAAGACTCGGGGGTCTGGATCGGCTCCATCAACGATGAGAACGGATAGGAAGTCCCGCATCGCGTCCCACGATTCAGACACATCGGACCAGAAACGAGAGAGATCAAGAGAAACAGATTGACCCCGATGTTCTCCTTTGACGTCACCCTCCCAGAGCATGCGTCCGCCATCGACTACGCGGACGAAATAAGTAAAACCGGCGTCCGGCCGAGCCATCTGCGTCGCTTTGGTCATGACGGGTTGCTGATCTGTGAAATGAGTCGCGAGCCAGCGGCGGCGTTGCTGCGATTTGAGCCGTGCGATCGCTTCGAGCTCCAGCGCGCGCGCCGGACTCAGTAGGGCTACGTCTCGAGACTGCGCGAGTTTTCGCCACGCGCCGCCGTCCAGCAACGCTCCGCGGACGTCCGCAGCACACGTGCTCAAGGCACCGAGCGAGCTGGCGCTCAGAAACGGAAAGAGCTCCGACCGCATCATGGCCAGCACCGCGTTCGGTGCCGTGCGCGCGCGCGTCCTGCTGTCGTCTCCGCTCTCGGGCGGCGCGGAGGCCTCCATGCGCCGCGCGATGTCGCTAGGCTTGTCGCGCACGACGTAGCGGACGACGCCGACGAAGCGGGCGGAGGTCGACGAGGACTCGACGCAGACGGCGGTCGACGAGGACTCGACGCAGACGGCGGTCGACGAGGACTCGACGCAGACGGCGGTCGACGAGGACTCGACGCGGACGGCACTCGAGGCGCCAGGCGCTCCCGGCCGCCGCGAGATAATGGTGCATCTATGTTGTAGTTCAACATGCAGAATTAATCAACGCGGGTGTGCTGCCGCAATCAAGCTAGCGGGTGCGCCCGCGGCGGCGGCCATGTCGTCGGTGAAGAACCTGCGGCGGCGGCGCGAGGCCGTGCTGCGACGGCGGACGGCCCCCGAGGAGCGGCGAAAGAAGGACGAGGAGCGCGACGACGAGGAGGACGAGGGCGAGGCCTTCGACGACGACGACGACGACGAGGAGAGCCGGCTGTCGCCGCGGTCGGGCTACGCGCAGCAGAAGCAGAACGCGGAGCAGCTGATCCTGCAGCTCGTGACGCACCTGGACAAGTTCCACGTCGAGGAGATGCACGCGCAGTTCCGCGAGAAGGACGAGATCGTCGGCATGATGGACTTCGTGCGCATCGTGAAGAACATCCTGCCGAGCTACATCCTGAAGCCGAAGCACAAGCGCGACCAGCAGAAGTCGGCGAGCGAGATGGCGGGCCTGTCGATCATCCGCGACGAGGCGGAGCTCGTGCGGAATCTGGTCGAGCTGTTCCACGAGATCGACGTCAACGGCGACGGCGACGTCGAGTGGGAGGAGTTCACGCGCTTCATCGTGGAGAAGGCGCGGCTCTTCAAGGAGCAGAACGCGCTGGAGCGCATCCCGGCCTACGCCCACGTGCCGACGCCCGCGGAGAAGCTCGAGAAGAACCCCGGGGGCCTCAACGCGCCGCGGCACCGGAACCTCATCGACAAGATCTGCAAGATCCCGGACCAGCACCTCCTCGCCGTCAGCGAGCAGCACTCGAACGTCGTCCAGCTCTACGACGCCCGCGACGGCGGCTGGCAGACGTCCCTGAAGACGAACGCGGTGCCGCTCGCGCTGTCGTACGTCGAGCCGCAGCAGTCGCTCCTCGTCGCCTGCTCGGACATGACCATGTCCCAGTGGCTGCTGACGCCGGACCACGTGAACAACACGGCGCGCTTCAAGGAGAAGGCGCGCTGGCCGACGCCGGACACGCTCATGTGCCTCACGTGGGCCGACGCGCAGCGCTACGCGTACAGCGGGTCCACGGCGGGCACGATCCACGCGTGGGACCTCGCGGAGCGCGAGATGAAGATGGCGCTCCACGGCCACGAGGACATCATCATGGAGGTGCTCCACATCAAGTACCTGGACAACATCGTCTCCGCGAGTTTGGACACGACGGTCCGCGTCTGGGACACGTACACGGAGAAGCAGTCCACGCTGCTCCGGGGCCACGCCAAGGGCGTCAACGCCCTCGCCTACAACAGCGAGCACCGCTTCCTCATCTCCGCGGGCTTCGACCACGACGCGTTCGTCTGGAGCCCCTTCGTGTCGACGCTGTTGTACAAGCTCAAGGGCCACCGCGCGGCGCTCGTGGGCTGCCACGCCGTCGAGGGCACGCACGAGCTCGTCACGGCCGACTGCCACGGCGTGCTCAAGCTCTGGGACCTGCGCAACTTCCAGTGCATGCAGACGTTCACGAGCGCGCACGAGCCGGGCGACCTCGACGACCTCAAGGGCTTCCAGGCCTTCACGCACTGCCAGCTGCCGCCCAAGGACCCGAACCAGGACATGATGGACTACCGCGTCGTCGCCGGCACGAAGAAGCTCTTCTTCTTCGACCAGCACCGCGTCCGCAAGGAGCCCGTGACCGACGACCTGCCGCTGAGGCTCGTGCTCCTCAACGAGGTGTCGCTCACGCTCTTGGTGGTCAGCGACCGGAGCGTCAAGATCTGGGACGCCATTTTGGGCACGCTCAAGCGCGCCTACCTCGACCTGAGCCCCGCGGACATCACCGCGGTCTGCCTCGACGACCGCCGCCGCAAGTTCTTCGTCGGCAACTCCGCGGGCGCGATCACGTGCCACAACTACCAGAACGGCGCCTGCATGAAGAAGTTCCCGCCCTTCCCCGGCAACGCCCGCGTCGTCACCGTCGCCTACGTCTTCGCGCTCAAGGGCCTCGTCGCGGCCGCGGCGACGGGCACGATCCGCGTCTACGACGAGAAGGAGCTCGAGGTCTGCGCGGTCCTGCGCCAGTTCGACGAGGCCTACACGCACCGCGCGGAGCTGAGCCTCATGGCCCACCACGAGGCCGGCGCCATCGCCGCGACGGCCGCGGGCGCGTCCATCGAGGGCATCCGCATCTGGGACTCGGACACGGCCAAGTGCGACTCCGTGCTCAAGACGCGGGGCTACGTCGTCCTCGCGCTGGGCTTCCTCGAGCCCTACCCGCTGCTCTACGTCTGCTCCAGCGACGGCATGATCCGCATCTGGGGCGTCCAGCCGGGGTCGAAGATCGCGGGCGTCTGCCTCGTGGGCATCCCGAACAAGCCGCCGAAGGGCTCGTACTACGAGTTCTTCGACGAGGACGCCGGCGACGACGAGAACGGCGACGGCGCGGCGCGGTCCGCGCCGCCCCACTCGTCGCGGCCGAGGCTCCTGCCGCCCTGGGCGCCGCGGAACCCGAAGCGGACGCACACGGAGCCCAGCGGCGACGCGGGCCTGCCCGAGGGCGTCGCGGCCGGCGCGACGCCCGTGTCCGCCGCGGGCTTCGACGCGACGCGGAACCATTTGTACGTGGGGGACGAGCTCGGGAACCTGCGGTGCTTCGACCTGAGCCTCTGCCTCGCGCTGCTCGAGCTCGGCGTGCCGGACGCGTCCTACGCGATCGCGCGGTCTCCCTGCGCGCCGGCCATCGCGCCGCTCCGCGCGGACGCCGACGGCCGCGAGCTCGCGCCCGAGGTGCCCGACGTCGACGTCGAGGCGGCGCTGGAGGCGGCGCTGGGCGAGGACTGGCGCGGCCGGCTCGGCGCGGCGCCCGAGGCCGAGCCGGGCGCGGCCGTCGCCGTGGACCGCGCGCTCCACGAGCACCACCTCCTCAAGCCCCACGAGCTGCGGGCCTACGAGGCGCAGAACGCGTCGACGTCCGACTCCTGGACCATCGACGACATCCTGAAGAGCCCGCGGCTCGACCCGGACGACGCCGTGCGGCCCCTGCTGCCCGAGGCGCTCTGTCGCCTCGTCTGGGCCGTCGAGTACGCCCACGAGGAGGCCATCCTGAGCGTCGGCTGCTGCGGCGACCCGTCCGCCGTCGTCACGGCGGGCCTGGACCGCTGCGTGCGCATGTGGGACGGCGCGGGCTCGTTCCGCGGCGTGCTCCTCCAGGGCCTCGCGCCGGGGTCCACGAACCCCTGCTGGAGTTTAGATTTGGACGTCGCGGCGCGGGAGAACAAGGACAAGGCGCGCACGACGACCGTCGTCGACGCCCTCGAGGAGTTCGAGCGCGCCGCGCGCGCGACGGAGAAGCGCGGCTCTTTGAAGTTGAAGCGGCGCGAGTCGCAGCTGTCCTACCGCCTCGAGAAGGCCAAGGAGCTCGCCGTGTCCATGCAGGACGCCGCCGAGGGCCGCACGGGCGGCAACTCCGTGTCCACGGACACGCTCAACACGTCGTCGACGACGAAGCTGAGCCCGCCGACGGACGCGCGCATGCACTCGCGCGTCCGCTCCGCGCTGAGCGACGTCAAGTCCATGCACACGGCGGAGCCCCCCGTGAGCGACGGCCTCTTGAGCGAGTCGAGCTCCTGGCAGAGCAGCCAGCAGGGCCGCGAGCCCCGGCGCCGGTCGTCGCTCCAGGGCCGCCGCGCGGACGCGCTCTCGCCCAAGCCGTCCGTGATGACGTCGGCGTCGACGGCGGACCTCTTCCACGGCTCGACGCTGTCCAACGCGACGCCCGCGCCGGGCTCCCGCAAGCACGGCGGCTCCATCAACAACGAGCGCGGTACGCCCGCGACGCCCCTCGGGAAGCAGATCCTCGACCACAAGTCGGACAAGAAGCCCCGCTCCAACTTCCTCTCCGTCGTCCCGCCGCTCCCGGACCTCCAGCGCCTCGGGCCCGAAGCCCAAAAGAGCCTCGACAACCTCACGCTCGCGCTCCACATGGCATAAGCCGCGTCGTCGCTAGGAGCGCGCGCCGGGCCACCGCCACCCGCGGGGCGACTCGCGGAGCGCGCCGGCCTTCTCCGACGCGCGCGACTTCGCGGCCGCGCCGCCGGAGACGAGGACGTTGCCTACCGTGTCGCCGGCGTAGAGGACGCCCTCGGCCGTGAGGTGGAGGCACCGGATGCTCGCGAGGCCGCAGTAGTCGTGCGCGTCGGGCTCGAGCACGACGACGGGCCAGGCCGCCGCGACGTCGAAGACCCGCACGCGCTGGTCGTCCGCGCCCGTGACGGCCCGATCCGCGAGGAGCGCCACGGCCCCCACCCTCGGTTTCCCGCCGCTCGCCGACCGGTGGCGGTAGCGCGCGACCGCGCGGACGCCTTCGCGCGACACGCGCCAGAGCACGGCCAGGCCGTCCCAGCCGCCGCTCAGCGCGCGGCCCCCGTCGAGTGCGATGCCGGCGATGGGCCCGTCGTGGCCCGGCCGCGACTCCGCGAGCGCCCCCGCGGGCCCCCCGGCCTTGGGCGCGCGGAGGTCGACGAGCGCGAGGCCGTGGGCCCGCGTCGAGACGACGACGGCGTCCGCGCCGACCGCGGCGCACGCGGCCGGGACAGTCGCGAAGAGCCAGCTCGGCGGAGGGCTCGCGCGCGAGCCCCCGAAGCAGACGCCGGACGCGGCGAAGTCGCCGTCGCGTTCGCGCGCGAAGACGGCGACGGCGCCGTCGGCGTAGAGGACGGCGAGCTTCGCGCCGTCGGCCGTCGCGCAGGCCGCCTGGGCCGTGCCCCGGGACGCGCCGCCGAGGCGCTGGTTCCAGGGCGCGCCGCGCGCGAGGCAGCTCGCGTGCACCGCGCGGCCCGCGCCGACGAGCAAAAGCCGGCGGCGCGCGCCGCCGGGGCCGTCTACCGTCGCGAGGTCCGCGAAGCCCACGGCGGACCGGTGCCGCGACACGGCGCCCACGAGGTCGTAGCCCTTCGACCGCCGCGCGCGCCAGAGCTGGACGCGGTGGTCTGGCGACGCCGTGACGCACCAGCGCGCGTCGACGGCGAGCACGACCTCGCTCGCGATGCTGTTCGACGGCTTGCTCGCGGACGCGAGCGTCCGGAGCGGCGCGCGGCCGACGCGCCGCGCGCACCGGCACCGCGCGCGGAACTCGTCGTCGACGGGCGGCCGGTCGTCGATCTCCTTGCCCGGCGTCGGCGAGGCGAGGGGCCGGCAGAACGCGCGCAGCGGTGCGAGCCGCGACCTACCAAGTGCGATGGGGTCGGATTTCTTCACATCTTCAGGCAAAATTCACGCGAAAAAACACTCCTGTCGCTCGACGCTGGCCGCGACGCCGCGTCGACGCGCTCGCGCTCGCCGCGCGGCGCGCCGAAATCCCGCAGGTAGAGCCGCTTCCACGCCTCGTCGGCGGCGACCTCCTCGAAGGCGCCGCGGCAGCTCGCCTCGAGCGCGAGGAGCGCCGCGATGTCGAGGAACGCCGCGACGAGCCGCGTCGTCGCCACGAGATCCCGCGCGGAGCCGCCGGGCTGGTCCGCGCTCACGGCCGCGACGAGCTTGGCCCGGGCCGCGGCGATGCTGGACCGGCGCAGCCGCAGGCCGAGGACCGACGCGGCGCCGAGCACGCCGTCGAGGACGTAGACGACGACGAGGATGATCGTGATCCGGAGCCCCCAGGTCGCAGAGACGCCGACGACCGCGACCAGGTAGGCGCTCATCTGCGCCCGCGTCGACGCTCGACCGGCGGCGCCGAGGGCGGATGCGACCGCGCCCATGCTAGCTCATCTGCCTGGTTGCGTCGAGAGGCAGCCCCATGCTCACCTGAGCATCCATGCTCATGGATGAGCCACCTCACCTAAAAGGTCAACATCCTTGCTTGACCAAGTCCTTGGAGTTAACCTCGGCCCAGCAGCCCGTGAGGATGCGATGGCCAGCCAACGGGAAAGCTCGTTCATCAGTCAAACAATGCGCTACCACGCTTCGGGCGGCGACCTGGACGCGTTTGTCGTGTTGGAAAAGGACGGAAATTGTGGTGTGCGCATCGATCATCATCCGCATGGAGCGTCTCTCCTGCATTACGCAGCGGAAAAGGGCTGGTGCTCGGCCATAAAGTGGCTTCTCGACCGCGGCGCCGACGTCCACTTCGGTCAGCGATCCCGCCGCTGGAAGCCACTGCACGCTGCCGCTCATCTCGGCCGATGTGACGCAGCAGTCCTGCTGCTCGACGCGGGCGCGCGAGTCAACGACCGCGACCATTTGGAAAACACTGCGCTCCACCTCGCAGCTTGGGAGGATGAGCCCAAGATGTGCAAGCTTCTGCTGAGTCGCGGCGCATCGCTGGACGCCCGCGATCAGGACGGCGACGACCCCGAGACCCTCGCGCGAGTCTGCGACTGTACGACCGCGGCCGACCTCCTCGCCGCCGTCCGCGCCGCGGGCGGCTGGCTGCCGTGGCTCGACGCCCCGCGCACGGAGCTCCTCGCCCTCCGCCAGCGACTCCCGGCCCTCCGCGATCGCGGCCGCGCGGCGTCGTCGGCGAGCGTGCGCGCGCACGAGTGGCTCTTCCTGAAGGCGCCCGACGACGTGTTCTCGCACGTCCTCGCCTTCTGGCGCAGCCCTCGCGACGATTAAAATTGTTAGCTCGCGTGGACCGCGGGCGTGAGGGTCTCGTCGATGTCGAAGACGCAGACGAGGGCCATGTGGTCCGAGGGGAAGAGGGAGTTGGGGAGCCAGGTGCCCGGCTCCTTCCACTTCGTCTCGGCGTCCTCGGTGCCGAGGGACTTGAGCTCGCTCTCCGTGCCGTCGTCGTCGTCGTCGTCGTAGGACGCGTAGCTCGACACGCCGGACGCGGACGTGCCCTTGGACGCGGCCGTCTGCGGCCGGCTGTCGACCTCGATGGCCTTGGGGATGCGCAGCGCGGGCACGGGGAGCACGGCGACGGGCGTGAGGACGTGGCGGCTCGTGAAGATGTAGTCGACGCAGGCCGTGCGCCGCTCGGCCGTGATCGTGTAGTGCGGGTCGCCGCCCGCGAGCGCGTAGGCGGACGCGACGCCGACGCGGTTGTCCTCGGGCACGTCGCCCTCGAAGTAGCGGTCCAGGTTCAGCCGCTCCGTGATGCGCGCGACGGCGCCCTTGGCCGCGGACCGGATGGACACCTCGCGGCCCACGGCGCCGCGGCGCCGGTGCTCCTGGGGCCGCTTCGCGTCCCACTGCTCCTCCTCGGACCGCGTCGCGCGGACCGTGACCTGGCCGTCGTTGCCTTTGCGCGCGTTCGCCGCGCCCGTGAATTTGCCGTTGTGCCGCGGCGAGATGCCCGTGGCGCTGTAGTAGGGGTGCCTCCTCGCGTCGTTGTCCGCCTGGCGCGCGGCCGCGATGGCCCGCTCGTCCGTCGCGAGGCGCGCCTGGAGGCGCACCTCGGGGTCGCGGCTCGCGAGGCGCGGGTCGATGCCCCCCTCCTCGATCTTCGCCCGCATGGCCTCGAGGAGCTCGAGCTCGCGGACCGCGCCGAGCTCGCCCTTGACGCGCCGCGTCGCCTCCAGCGCCTTCTTGTCGACGAGGCCCCGCTCGTGGACGACGGCGACGGCGTAGGGTAGACTCAAGTCCTCGCCGACGGCGCGCTGGCGCAGCACCTCCTTGCACGTCAGCAGCAGCCGCGGCGCGGCGCCGCAGAGCGCGGCCTGGCGCCTGTCCTCGACGTCCGCGGCCTTGTCGCGCTCCAGGTCGTCGTCGTCCTCGCTCGAGCTCGACTCGTCGTCGTCGCCCTCGCCCTCGTTGGACGCCTCGAGGTAGACGCCGCTCTCCGCGATGGAGTCCGCGCGGCTCAGGCGGCTCGCCTGAGACGCGCCGTCCGCGGCCGTCGCCTCGGACTCGGACTCGCTCGGCGGCGGCGGCTCCGCGGGCCTCCGGATCTCCTTCGTGTAGGTCTGCGTCGCGAAGGGCGCGCTCGGCGCGCTCCAGGCGCCGACGCCCATGGAGCTCTCGCCCGCGACGCGAAACTCGTACGCGACGCCCGACGCCAGGCCCGCGACGATGGTCCGGTACAGGGGGTCGCGCACCGTGCGCCGCAGGGACGTGCCCGGCCGCACCGTCGTCTTGTAGTGCGTGCAGTCCTGCTCGGAGACGACCAGCGGCTCGCTCCAGCCCAGCGTCCGCGACCCGCCGACGCGGAACGACACGCGGTACGACTCCACGGGCGGGTCGAGGCGCTCCGTGTTCACGAAGGCGGGCTCCCAGGACACCTCGGCCGACGTCGGCGACGCGGACCCGGCGCCGATGCCCAGGAAGTCGCCGCGGACGCCCGGCGGCGGCGGCGGCACCGGCGGCCGCGGCACGGAGGGGAGCACGCCGTTGTGCATGAGCTCGTACGCGTCGGAGCCCGGCGTCGCGTGCATCGTGCCCCCTAGGACGACGGGGTGCTGGAAGTCGCTGTTGAAGCGCTCGACGCACTTGACGAGGTAGCGCGTCTGCAGGAGCCGCACGGCCTCCTCGTCGCTCCAGTTCTTGCGGAGCGCGTCGGACCGGCGGTCGCTGATCTCGTCCTCGTCGTCGGGGTTCGCCTCGTAGGCGTCGCCCGCGTGGCCCCCGGCGAGCTGGAAGGAGCCCACGACCAACGCGCTCGTCAGCGTCGTGTCGTTGAAGGGGATGACGTTCACCAGGAGCCCGACGTCGTCGCGCGCGGACGCCTTGACGGCGAGCGCGGGCGTCTTCGCGATGCCCGCGGCCTCGTGGAAGCGCACGACGGCGCTGTGGACGAGCTGGAAGCTCGACCGCCGCCAGCCCACGAGCACACCGTCGACGTCGTCGTCGTCGGGCGCGCGGCCGCCGCCGGACCACGACGCGCGGCGCCGCTCGTACATGGTGTCGTAACCCAAGCCGCTGAGCTGGGGCCGCCACCAGTCGTAGTCGTCGACGTCCTGGAGGCACACGAGGTCGCAGCCGCGGCGGCCGATCTCCGCCGCGAGGCGCTGCCGCCGGAAGGACCACGTGAGCACCGACGCCTTCGACCGGCCGTGCATCGACTCCGCGTGGCAGCGCGCGAGCACGTTGTACGAGAGCACGGACACGCGGCTCTTGCCCGCCTGGGACTCGCGGGCGACGACGGTGTCGCCGAAGCCCGCGAGCAGGTCCCCGTCGGAGACGTCGAGCCACTGGAGCTGCCGGTCCAGATCGGCGTTGTCGTGCTCGCCCTCGTAGCTGCCCGTCGTCGGCCGGCTCTGGTCGTGGAAGATGGCCTCCTTCCGCATGGAGTCGTGCAGGTGGTCGCGGATGTCCATGGAGCCCATGGCGGTCAGGGCTGCGTCTCAGGCGCCCATGCCAACGCTACGAGTCAACACGAGCCTGCGCCGGGCGAAGGTGCCGCATCTCACAGCTCCCGCCGCGCGCCTGCGCCGCGCTCCTCGTCGTCGCGTCGCGACTCGGGCGCGCCGGCGCGGAAACGTCACCGCGATGGCCGACGCCGACCTCCAGCTCTTCTCGTCGACGAAGGAGCGGCGGCGCTACACGGACCTCGCCGACTTTTACGCCATCATCAAGGCCACGGAGCACCTCGAGAAGGCCTACGCGCGCGACGCCATCGACGAGGCGCGCTACGAGAAGGCGTGCCTCAAGCTCATCTCCCAGTTCAAGAGCAGCGAATCAGCATTAAAGCTCGGCGGCGGCATCGAGGACGCGTCGTCGTTCATCGCCGAGTGGCGGATGGACTGCCCGCGCGCGCGCGACCGCCTCGTCCGCTGCGGCGCGCCCGCGACGGTGCTCCACGCGACGGACGCGGGCGACGCGAGCGAGACCGTGCGCGTCGCCGAGTGCGTCCAGCACTTCATCACGGCCATGGACGCGCTCAAGCTCGACCAGCGCGCCGTCGACGAGGTCCAGCCGCTCGTCGCGGACCTCGCCGCGGGCCTCGGGCGCGTGCCCCACGTGCCCTGCGCGGCGGGCAAGGCGGCTTTAGCAAAATGGCTCGTCCAGCTCAACGCGATGCGCGCGTCCGCGGAGATCGACGACGAGCAGGCGCGGCAGCTGAGCTTCGACCTCGACTGCGCCTACTCCGAGTTCCACCGGGACCTCGCGGGCCGCCACTAGCGTACGAAGGTGTAACGAGCAGCGGGCGGGGGCGGCGTCGCGGCGGCGGGCGTCACGTGTCGTGGACCCAGTCCACGCGGACCTTGTTCCGGCCCTTGAGGTACCGGTCGATGTCCATCGCGGCGATGCAGCCGTCGGAGGCGGCGACGACGACCTGCTTGAAGGGCGTGTTGCGGATGTCGCCGATGGCGTAGACGCCCGGCATGGACGTGGCCATGTTGTCGTCGACGGCGACGCCGCCGTCGTCCCTGAACTCGACCTGGCCCGTCTGGAGGAAGTCCGTGATGGGCTTCGAGCCCGACATGTAGATGAAGCAGCCTTCGACGGGCAGCAGCAGCTCGTCCTCGCCGCGGGGCTTGATGGTCACGCCCGTGACGCCCGAGGCGTCGCCCTCGACGGCCTTCATCGCGGTCCGCGGCCAGTGCTTGACGTTGTCGAGCCCGATGAGCTCCCAGGCCTCCGCGTCGTCGGCCTTGGGCTCGTTGGACGTGATCCAGTGCACCGTGGACGCGAACTTGGTGAGGAACGTCGCCTCCTCGATCGCGTCCGTGTGCGTGCCGACGACGGCGACCTCGGACTCGCGGTAGAACGCGCCGTCGCACGTCGCGCAGTAGGACACGCCCTTGCCCAGGTACTCGCCCTCGCCGGCGAAGGACGGCGGCCGGCCCATGGCCCCCGTGGCCAGCACCAGCGCGCGCGCCTTGATCGTCGCGTCGGGCGTGTAGACCATCTTGAACTCGCCGTCCGTGTCGACCATGAAGACCTGCGCGCGCCGGTAGTCCGTGCCGTAGGACACGGCCTGGTCCCGCATCTGGTCCAGGAGCTCCGTGCCCGTCATGGACTTGTCCACGCCCGGGTAGTTGGCGATGTGCGACGTGATCGCGAGCGCGCCGACGGCCGGGTTCTTGTCGACGATGACCGTCTTGAGGTCCGCGCGGCTCGTGTAGAGGGCGCAGGTGCAGCCCGCGGGGCCCCCGCCGACGATGACGACGTCGCACTCCACCTCCTCCATCATGGCCAGGGCGCCGGGCCGCCGCGCGCCGCCGGGCCGCCGCCGGCCGCAGCTCTGTCGTAACCTCCGCGATGATGCGCGCGCGCCGCCGAGCGACGCCGGGGGCCGCACGACGAGGCCCGACGCGACGCCCGCGAGGGCGCCCAGGGCCAGGAGCAGCATCTTGCCCATGGCGGGGCGCGCGTCGACTCAGTCACGCTCCGATCCGCGCACCTCGAGCTGATCGGTGCCTGGTTGAGCCCGTCTCGTGGTCGAGCAACATATGGTGCACTTTTGTATGCAACCACCGGCAGCAAGCTTGCGGCAGGCTCAAGGGGGGGGTGACGGGAAATGAATTCCGACTTCCGCGACGCCAATATCCAAGCAATCCTGGGTTCCTACTCGGAGGTGGTAACTGACGGGGATCCTGTCCTAAAATCTGGGGCTGGGACCGCGTTTGGACGCGCCTGGGAGGCGTCGAATCGAGCAAAAGCTGGGTTTTCATTGGTCGAAATCCTCGGACAAAAAGATCGCGGGCGGCGTCGAGAGCTCGGGCCGCCTGGAGAGGCTGTGGGCGCGTCCGTCGGCGCTCTGTGCGCGTCCCTCCCGGCCTGGGCGGTGGCGACGAAGGCCTCGTACCCCTGGGCGACCTCTGAGGTGCTTTGGTTGCGGAACTCGCACGTTTCGACGCGCGCCGGGGCGTTCGAAGGCCGTCTCCCAGTGGCGGCAGTCCTTCGCGCGCCGCTCGGGCGACGCCAACGCAGCGTCGCACGCAGCTGGTCGAGCCCGGCACTCGTCTAGTATGTCGTGACGCGTACGACAGCGACATGCTCTGCGCGGCGACCGGATTCACTCGTGGCGCCGAGGAAACGCTCCGGAACTACCGAGGACGTCTTTGAGCGGCGGCGGGTCGACGAACACGCCGGACATGCTGCGGCTGAGCCCATCACGCGGGCCCGTACCACCCATGGACTGGATCGGACGCGCAAACGCGGGCTCTGGGCTGGATCTGCGGCCGACAGGGCCCCGTAAGCTGACGCGGCTCGCGTGGCCTCGGGACGCCGCGGTCGCCACTGGTGCGATCGCGCGGCCGCCGCCCCGATTAAACTACGTCGAGGAGTCCTTTAGGGTGCTAGGACGACCGTTCTCGGATTGCTTGGGAAACGGTGTTCACCGCGTCGCGCTAGGGCGCCCTAGGGGGTCCGTCTCCGGGACGGTCTCCCCCCCCGTGCAGGCTCGCGAAGCCCGGCGCGGGCGGGCAGGCGGCGCCCGACGGCGGCGGCGCGAGGTGGCGCGCCGTGAGGTCCGGCCGGTCGAGCAGCCGCGGCGCGACGCGGTCGGTCATGAGGCGCGCGACGTCGTCGAGGTCCGCGGTCATGGGCCCGCTGTAGGACCCCTGGGCCATGGAGGCGAAGAGCTGGGAGTCCGCCGACGCCGCGGCGGCCCAGTAGTAGGGCGCGGGCCAGGGCTCTTTGCCCACGCGCTCGTGGAGCGACGGGCCCTTCTTGCCCTGGGCGCCCGCGTAGTAGCCGAGCTCCACGAGCAGCGTGTCCGGCTGGACGAAGATGACGTTCGCCAGGGCCGCGCCGTGGGGCGCGATGACGACGTGGGCCCGCCGCCAGACCGCCGCGCTCGACGCGAGCGTGTGCTCCTTGCCGACGAAGACGCGGACGTTCACGGCGCACGCGCGGGGCGCGAGCGCGCCGTCGAGCGCGGCCAGCACGCGCTTCACCATGGCGTCGTGGTTCTTCACGGACCGCGTCCGCGCGTCCTGGCGCGACACGATGAGCACCTCGACGACGCAGGCCGCGGTCCGCGCGGGCACGGACCCTCCGAGGTGCGGGATCTCGCGCGTGTTCGGCTCCGGGTCCGGGCACGCGGACAACAGGCGGCTCACGTAGGTCCGGTTCAGGGCGAGCTGGAAGGCGCAGGTCTCCTCGCCGCCGAGCGTGTACCAGCCCGTGGACACGTGGTCCGGGAAGATGGGCACGGCCTCGCCTGGGCAGCAAAAGGGTGCGAAATTCCCAACTTCAAAGGCTCCTATCTCGGTCGTTTTCCGCTCGTTTCGGCTGATTTTTGGACGAGCGATCATCTCTTGGAGCGCTCTCGAAGCGTGGGTGCTGTTTCCGAAACGCGCGCGCGCGGAACACTCACGTTGAAGCGACGTTGAATCACCCTTTTGCTGCCCTGGGCCTCGCCGGCGAAGAAGACGCTGTCGCGCGGATCCCTGGGCTTGAAGATCGTCGACCCCGTCTTCCGGATGGGCACGTAGCGGATCTTGAGCTCGTCCGGGATCATGCGCCGCCGCGCGAGCATGGCGACCCACTCGCGCCAGAGCCGCGAGTCGTGCACGAGGAGCGTCGTGGAGTTGGCGGGCACGTGGCGCGCGATCCGCAGCAGCCGCGGGAACTGGTTGATGTTGTGGGCCACCTCGTCGGGGTAGACCCCGAAGGCGTGGGCGACGTGGCCGTCGACGAGCGTCGGGTGGGGCCGCGCGTTCCGCGCGTCCCGCTTCAAATTGAGGTGCACGGGGTACGCGCGGTCGCCGTCGCCGACGACGCAGCTCCCGGGCCCGTTGTGGCCGAGCTCGACGTAGGCGCCGGGCCCGGACACGCGGCCGACGAACTGCTTCGCCGCGCAGCCGCTCCAGCGGTTCGCGTCGCGCCAGGGCTGGAACTTGGGGCCGTGGCCCTCGGGCGCGGGGCAGACCCGGGCCCACCGCTGGCCCTGCTTCGCGCCGCCGGTCTTGCCGTGGGCCTTCCAGTGCAGGTCGCACCATTTCTGCTTCTCCTCGTCGCTCGAGAAGGGCAGCACCTCGCGGTCGGCGAAGACGCCCTGCTGCGGCCGCTGCGACGCGACGACGTAGCCCCCGGGGTAGTCGTCGATGTTGACGACGTTTTTTTGTTGCGGCTTCGCGCCGCCGCCCGCGGCGGCGCCGCCGCCGCCGCGGCCGCCGCGGCGCCCGCCGCCGCCGGGGCCGCAGCGGGCGACGCCGAGTACGACGAGGCACCGCACGGCAGCGGAAGCTGCCATGTTCGAACCGGCGGGCTGTTGAGTAAGGCCAAGGGCCTTCCTTGACGACTGGCATCATATTACACAAAATAAAGATATGATATTTCCTTTTACATAAACTTTACCGGATCAAAGCCGTAAGTTACGACGTAAGCATGTTGAAGTATCTTGAAGCCTGTATTGCCAACCTTGGACTCGAGACGATGGCCCATGTTCGAACCGGCGGGCAGCTATCGTTGAGCTCATCGTGCCTGCCGTGTTGGCCTCGTCGAGTTTTTTTTACAGCGGCCTGGCAAGCAGGGGGTCTGAACTCCCGCACGTTACGCGCGCGTCATCGCGCGGTCTGCCGCTCCGGCAGGGGCGCCGCCCGGATCGCGTCCCGCAGCGCCGCCTCCGCGTCGCCGTCGTCGACGAGGTGGCACCGCGGCCGGTCCTGGACGGCCACGGGGCACTGGGAGAAGCAGGGCGTGTCGAGCGCCTCGTCCACGGCCAGCGGGGGCGGCGCGACACCGAACGAGAACGTGCACGAGAAGTCCTCGTAGTCGGGCTCCATGAGCAAGGGCAACCCCATGTCCTCGCCGAAGAAGCGCTGCGTCGGGATCTTGCACAGATTCACGCACGCGGACGCGCAGCCGCCGGCCTCCAAAAAGCGGCAGCGCTCGACGACGAGCTTCTGGTGCGCGCCGTCGCCCCAGGTCGCGTCCGGCGTCTCGACGTCGCCGACGGTGGACGCGCCCATGAGCCAGTAGGAGCAGGCCCGGGTCACCCACGCGTTCAACTTCGCCGAGTAGGGCCGGAAGACTTCGTGCGCGAAGAGCTGGCGGTACGCGTCGTAGAGGGGCTCGACGCGGAAGCCGTTCGCGGGCGAGACCATGGGCGGGAAGCACCGCCGGAGGATGCGCCGCCCGGCGGCCTGCGCCGCGCGCGGGCTCGGCCCGCGCGCGTTCAGCACGCGCACCTCCTCGATGAGGCCCTCGAAGTCGTCGCTGCCGTGGCGCGCGTCGCCGCCCAGCTCCTCGCGCACGCGCGCCGTGAAGACGCGCATGAAGAACCGGTCGAGGAGGCCGGAGTCGTCGATGAAAGGAGTTGGCGTCTGCGGGCCCGTTTTTTTAAGCGGAGGTGTCGCGCATCGCAGCGCGGTGGTGGTGGCGCAGGCGAGCCATGCGTTCAGGAGGCGCCGCATGGCTAGCTGGCGCCGCCGGCTACGGCGCGGGTGGCGGCAGGCCTCAACCCAACTGAGGAGTGCGATGGACTTGCTGGCACCACAAAGGCTCGCCCTGTGGTGATGGCCTAGGCGCGCACGCAGAGCAGTGGCTGGCGCGGCGCCGGCGACGGCGCGGGTGGCGGACTTCAACAAGAGCTCAATCTCCATGCGAGGCGCAATGATTGCCACAAAACCCAATTATTGACACGCCTGTCACAAGTCCTCACCGTCGTGTGATGGCCTAGGCGCGCACGCAGAGCAGTGCGCCAGCGCGGACTTCATCTGAGGCGCACATGCAAACAATGCAAAGCGCCGACACTGCGTTCTGAAGCGTACAAACGACAACGCAGGCTCCTAAACACACACACACAATGGAGCACCACGACGCCGCGTTCTGGGACGCCGAGTACGCGTCGGGCGCGCTCGGCGAGCGGGCCTTCGACTGGCTCTTCGACTTTGCGGAGCTGGGCGAGGCGCGCTGGCGCGCGCTGCTGGGCCCCGCGGGCGGCCGCGTCGCCGTCGTCGGCTGCGGCCACGCGTCGCTGTCCGCGTCCGTCGCGGCGCTGGGCTACGACACGGTGTCCATGGACAGCTCGGCGACGGTCATCGCGGCCATGCGCGCCGCGCACCCGGCGCTGGCGTGGGAGGTCCGCGACGCGCGCGACCTGCCGCCGCGGAGCTTCGACGTCGTCCTCGACAAGGCGTGCCTCGACGCCGTGCTCTGCTACGCGGACGCCTCCGCCGCCGACGCCTGCGTCGCGTCCTACGCGCGCGCGTTGCGGCCCGGCGGGCGGCTCGTCGTCTTCGCGTGCGCGCGCGAGCACGGCGGCGCGGACAACGACGGCTACGGCGGCGGCGCGCCGCGCGCGCTCGCGCTCGTCGAAACGCGCTTCCGCGACGTCGCCGTCGAGGAGCTCGCGGCGAGCCGGAGCATCGCGCCGACCTACGACGACGTGCGGCCGACGCACTACGCGCAGATCGTCGCCCGCGCGCCCGCGGATGATCCGGAGGCGCCGCCGCCCGCCGCGCCGCCGCCGCCGCGGGAGCCCCACCTCGACGACTACGCCGCGCCGCCGCCGCGGGAGCCCCACATCGACGACTACGACGCGTACTACAGTGGCGCGCTCACGGACGGCCCGCCGGACCCGCACGACGCGTTCTGCTCCTGGGCCGCGCTCGCGCCCAAGTTCGCGGCGGCCGTCGCTCCGCTCGGCGCGCGGCCGCGCGTGCTCGAGGTCGGCCACGGCCTCAGCGACGTCGGCGCGGGGCTCGCGGCCGTGGCGGACTACTGCGGCGTCGACGCCGTGCCCGCGTGCGTCGACCTCCAGCGGTCGCGGTTTCCGGACCTGCGCCTCGCGGTCGCGGACGCGCGGGAACTCGGGGCCGCGGACGGCTTCCTCGCGCGCGCCTGGGGCGAGCCCCACGCCGACGTCGTTTTCGACAAGGGCACCTTCGACGCGCTCTTCTTGTACGCGGACCCGGAGAGCGCGGTGCGCGCGTACCTCGGCGGCGCGCGGCGGCTTCTCGCCGCGCGGCGCGGCGTCCTCGTCGTCGTCGGCTGCGCGCGGACGGACGGCATCCTCCAGGGCACGGGCGCGCCGCGGCTCCGGGACTACCTCGACGCCGGCGGCTGGCGCGTCGACGCGCAGGAGGAGATCCTCTCGGACGTCGGCGCGGGCGAGCGCACCTTCGACTGGATCGTCGCGGCCCCGCCGCCCGACTAGCGTCCCTGGATTAAGGGCGCTTACCAGTAGTCCCGCGCGCTTCCGACGGCGAAGCCGCTCAGCGGGATCTCCAATATCGTGGGCGGCCGCAGCATGGGCACGTCGTCGTATTTGCCGGACTTCTCCATGAGGCGGAAGCCCGTGATCATCGGCGTGCCCGTTTCCGACGCCGCGTTGCAGAACAAAGTGCCCGGGTGGTCCCGGGAGATGCACAACCGGTAACCGTCCTCGGACGCGTGCTGCTTCGCGTGGACGTGACCGAAAACGCAGAGCGCGACGGGCTTCCGCTCCATGGCCCTCGCGAGCTGCGCGCAGCCGACGCGCCGCTGCCGCTCGACGATGTCCATGATGCCGAACGGTGGGCCGTGGACGACGACGACACTCGGCCGGTCCGCGTGGGCCAGGAGCGCGCGCCAGCGGTCGTACGTCTTCGACGTCTCGCGCGCGAGGAGCGTGTTGTGGCAGGCGAGGCACTCCTGCGGGTCCGCGCCGAGGTTCGTCTGGACCCGCGGCGTCAGCGGGCTGCCCAGCACGCGCAGGTCGCCGAAGCCGCCGGCGACGAGCGGCACCGCGACGTCGACGAACGAGTCGCGCAGGAGGTGGACGCGGCCGCGGCCGCCGACGAGGACGCGCTCGACGGCGTCGACGGCCTCGCGCGCCGTCCGCCCCCAGGGCCGCCGCCGCTCCGTCTTCTCGAAGGGCATGGCATCCAGGAGCTTGCAGGACACGCAGTCGTCGTCGTCGCAGAGGAGCCCGTCGTGGTTGCCGCCGATGACGACGACGTGGCAGCGCGGCCGCGCCGCCGTGATCGCCTCGAACAGCGCGGCCCACTCGTCGACGGACGCCCGCTCCTTCTGCTCGCCCGTCTCGAGCACGCCCCTGGCCCGCCGGTCGATGCCTCGGCCCGTCTCGCGCGCGAGCTCGTCGTTCTGCTCGAGGCCCAGGTCGCCGGCGAAGACGACGAGGCCGACGTCGTCGGGGGCGGCGACGTCGAACCACTCCGCGAGCGTCACGCGCCGCCGCGCGGCGCCCGCGCCGACGAAGATGCTCTTGTCGTTGTGGTGCCGGTGGAGGTCGCCCATGGCGACGACGCGCACGGTGTCGCCCTCGGCGGAGATGCGCACCACGGGCGAGTCTTCGTCCTCGTCGTCCGTCTCCTCGGGCTCGCCGTCCCAGTCGTGGCAGGCTTTCCACGCCTCGACGACGACGCGGCGCGGCGCCCGCGGCGCGTCCGGCTCCGTCCCGGCCTGCGAGTCCGAGGTCCGCGCGTCGCCGCCGGCCTCGGTCTGCGAGTCCGACGCGAAGGTCCGCGCGTCGCCGCAAGCGTCCATCTGCGAATCCGAGAGCGAGTACTCCTGCGTGTCGACCTGCGTGTTCTCGTCCTGCGTCGCCTCGTTCTCGACGTTCTCGCGGCGCGTCTCCAGATCCTCGGTGCGCCGCTGCTTCTTCCGCGCGGGCTCCGCGGCCTCCTCGGGCGCCGGCGGCGCCGGCGGCGGCGGCGGCGGCGGCGGGTCGTGGCGCGGTGTTGCGCAGACGAAGCACGCCAGAGAGGATTCTTGGTCGTTTAAAACAGTACATGTGGCGCAAGCCCACGGCATGGCGACGGCGTCGCAGAGCAAGGCGCCCGCGAACGCTCGGCAGGGCACAGCACGATCCCTCGTCTCGATCGATCGAGCGTCGGCAATATTCGTCGGCAATCAAGTTGAGGTCAAGTTTACCCCATGGGCGCGGTCAGGAAGTACTGGACGACGGCGTTGAAGTAGTGCTTCGAGTACAACGTCTCCTTGTCGAGGTCGCCGTGGTCGTCGCTCGGGAGCATGGCGCCGCAGACGACGACCGAGAGCCGCGCGGGCGTGAGGAGGTTCCGGTCCGCGGACGCCAGCAGCTCCTTGAAGAAGGCGACGACGTAGACGAACGTGTTGTAGTGCGCGTCGGGCAGCGCCGCGAGGAAGTCGGCGCCCCAGGCCCGCAAGCCCTGGGCGTCGGCGAGCTCCTTCTCCGGCAGCAGCGCCGCGGGGACGACGGGCCGCGCGAGCGCCGACAAAAACGACGTGAGCGCGGACGCGAGCGCGTGCGCGCCGACGTCCGGCAGGGGCGCCGACGCGTCGAGGGCGCGGCGCACGGCGTCGACGTCGGCCTCGGGCCCGGCCTCGAAGAAGAGGTTCGCCGCGTCGCGCTTCGCGGACAAGGCGTCGACGAGGCGGTACAACTCGCGCGGCACGGGCGCGGCGACGGTCGCGTCGTCCCGGTCCGCGCCCCGGCCGCACAAATCCGCGAGGTCCCGGCCCCAGGCGCTCGGCACCCAGGTGCCCGCGAACTTGACGTAGCGGTCGCCCGGCGCGCGCTCGACGTGCAGGACGAGCACCTCCGCGAGCGCGTCGACGGCCGCGTTGAGCCGCCGCGCGGCCCGCGTGCGCACTCGTACCACCACGTCGACGAGGGCGACGTCGCCGGGGAGCAGCGTGCCGCGCGTCCGCGACAGGGCCAGCCAGTCCTTGCGGAGCCGCGGCCGCGGCGCCGCGTCGAGCGACGCGCCCGCGCCGTCGAAGGCCCGGCCGACGAAGCGCCAGTGCGCCGGCGCCTCGCCGACGTTCTTCAGGGCGATGGTGCGCACGACTTTCTGGCCGTAGCGCACGTCGCCGAGGTCCACGAGGCCCGGGAGCGGCCGCTTCCTCGAGGACGCGTAGCGGTCGCCGTCGCCGGGGACGTCGTCCAGCAATTCGCACGACACCTCCGGCGGCCGAGACGCGTCGAGCCCGTCGAGGGCCGCGATCACCGCGCGCTCGACGGCGCGCTTCTTCGCCGGAAGGACCTCGAGCACGCGCGCGCGCAGGCTCGCGCGCACGGGCTTGTGGTCCGACGGCTCGAGGCTCATGTCCGAGTCGTAGTCCTCGAGCGCGACGGCGCGCCGGCTCTTCCAGAGCACGCGGTCGCACCAGGCCGGCGCCCGTAACTTCTTCTCCGGCCGCTGCTCGAGGCGGCTCGTCCCCGCCTCGTACTTGTAGGTCACGGGGAAGCCGATGGGGCCCTCGTCGAAGCCCGCGAAGACGCGGCCCGCGGCCCGCTCCAGGTTCAGCTGGTCGTTCGCGAGGAGGAACGCGTCGTCGCGCGCCTCAGCCCGCGCGAAGCACTCCGCCGTCGCGATGCCCTCGCGGACGCGGTAGTTCAGATCGCCCAACCAGAAGACGACGTCGTGGTCGAGGATCCGCCGCGGCGGCGGCGCCGGCGCGGGCGCGGGCGGCGCGGACGGCCGGTCGTGGTCGAGGATCCGCCGCGGCGGCGGCGGCGGCGCGGGCGCGGGCGGCGCGGACGGCCGGTCGGGCGCGCGCGGCGGCAGGGGCGGCGCGTCGTCGCTCTGGGCCGTCGCGGGCGTGGGCGTCGACACGTCGTCGACGTTGCGGAACTCGACCTTGGCGCAGATGGCCGCGACGTCCGCGTTCCGGCCCTCGACGTTCCCCCGGTGCGCCGCGAGGTGCGCCGACACCTGGGCAGGAAAAGGGTGCGAAATTCTCAATTTCAAAGGCTCCTTTCTCGGCCGGTTTCCACTCGTTTCGGCTGATTTTTGGACGAGCGATCATCTCTCGGAGCGCTCTCGAAGCGTGGATGCTTTTCCTAGAACGCGCGCGCGCGAAACACTCACGTTGAAGCGACGTTGAATCACCCTTTTGCTGCCCTGGCCGACACGACGCAGACGGTCGTGTCGAACGCCCGGAAGCGCACGGCGCAGCCGCCCTTGTTGCCGAGCATGCCCATGACGCCGACGCCCGCGGAGCCGTCGTCGACCTGCGAGCACTTCGCCGCGGAGAAGCCGCCGGGCCTCGCGGGCTCGGAACGCGCGAAGACGGCGAGGAAGACGCCGACGAGGTGGCGGCTCGCGAGCCGCTCGTAGCGCACGCCGCCCGGGAGCCGGGCCAGCGCCGCCTCGAGCATGGCCACCCACGCGTCCGCGCGCTTCGCGGACTTGCCCTCGGTGAGCACGTTCGCCGCCGTGAGGTCGACCATCTCCTGGGCGCCGACGGCGTAGACGTCCGCCGGCCCGCCGCCGCAGGCGAGCCAGGGGGTGAGGTCGAGGTCGAGGGTGGGCATGTTCTTGCCGTTGGCGTTCCACGTGCCGCAGACCACCCGGATGTCGTGGACCTCGGCGAACTGGTCCAGGCGCGCCTCGAGCTCGTCCTCGATCCACTCCCGCCGCAGGAACGCGACGGACGCCTCGCTGTCGCCCTCGCTGCCGACGACGCCGTCGTCGACGAGCGCCATCACCGGCGGCGCGGCGGCGGCCTCTCCACGAGCTCACACCAAGTGCTCACCACAGCTCACACCACACTCGAGCCACAGCTCACCACATGCTTGCTCACTTTTGGGCACTTCACTCACCTTCAACATGAAGTGCAACTTGCGACAGCCCTCGTCTTTTTACAGGTCCACGGGGTCGCGCTGCTGCCTCCGGAGGGCCTTCATCATGGGCGTCTGGAGCTTGGCGTTGGCCGTGGAGATGAGCTTGGGCGCCGTCTTGCCGACGGGGTCGAAGCCGTAGGTGGAGAAGAAGTGGGGGCTCGCGGTGGGCGTGTTCGGCGTGATGACGGCGTTGTTCTGCTTCCAGCGCATGAAGGGCGTGAGCTTGACGAGGCCCGGCTCGCGGGGCGCCGTCTTGCTCCGGAGCGGCGACGAGAGGCGCTGCGCGCTCTTCGCGGCCTCGGCGCGGAACGAGACGCCGCCGAGCGGCCGCGCGGCGACGGGGCTGGCCGCGCCGTCGCTCGGCGAGTGGGCCGCGGACGTCAGGCTCGAGCCGTCGTCGGGCTCGCCGTCGCGCGACGACCGCTTCGTCTTCGACGAGCCCTTCGAACCCTTGCCGAGCCGCTCGAGCTCCCGGGGCACGTTCATGAGGTGGGCCTCCTGCTTGGCGACGCGCTTCTTGAGCTCCGTGATCTCCTTGCGCAAAATGGCGAGGAGGCCGATCGTCGTTTTCTCCTTCTCCTTCAGGCCGTTCGCCTCGTTCGTCGCGCGCTCCGCCTGGTCCCGGAGCGTCGCGATGGTCTCGTTGTCGATCTGCTTCTGGTGAAGCGCCGCCCGGAGCTGCACGGCCTTCTCCACCAAGTTGTCCTTGAGCCGCCGGCAGTGGCTGAGGATTTGCGTCTCCGTATCGAACGACCGCTTCAGCGATCGCACGAGCCGGTCGTGGTCCTCCTTGAAGAGGTCCCAGGTCATCTTCCGCCGCCGCGTGTTCACGTGGTCGCCGACGTCGACGTCGCCCGTCTCGTACATGCCCTCCTCGTCCTCGTTGATGAACTCGTCGACCTGCTCCTTGAGGCTCGCGACCTCGAGCTGCAGCTCGCCGTTCTCGCTCTCGAGCCGCTTGTTCTCGCCGCGCAGGCGGTCGAGCTCGCTCACCACCGGCGGCGCCGCGGGCTCGGCAGGCGCGTCCGCGGGCTCCGCCATGGCGAGCGACCGCGGTGAAGGCTGCCCCGACGCGACGCCGCCAGCGCTAGCTAGTTCTCGGGAAAGGCACCATCGCCTTCACGACTCTTCACGGTGCCGCTGCGGTTTCGACCTCGATCACGATGGGGGACCAGGACGCCACGGAGCTCGAGCTGCTGCGCCTCGAGAACGACACGCTGCGGCGGAAGCTCGCGGGCCTCGAGGAGTCCATGTCGAGCATGGAGCAGCGCTACGGCCGGTCCGTGGAGCAGGCGTCCCAGGGCGACGAGGCGGGCTTCCCCGACGACGGCGACGCCTTCGAGCCGGCGCTCGAGAACCTGCGGGGCCTGCTCGGGAAGATCGAGGCGGCCAAGTCCGAGGCCATGCAGTTCCACGAGATCGGCAAGGAGCAGCTCGCCGACGACGTCCAGCACCTCTACCGGCTCCTGAAGCGGACGCGCGCGGAGCGCGCGCAGATGGCGTTCCGCGTCGAGGACCTCGAGATGCAGCTCGCCATCGAGAAGCGGCGGTCCGCCGAGCTCGCGATCACCGTCGAGGCCGGCGAGAAGGCCTTCCTCCAGGTCAACGCGCGCGACCGCGAGCTCGCGGAGAAGCGGATCCGCAAGGCCGAGGAGAAGGCGCACCGCCGCGAGGCCGAGATCGAGGCCCTCTTCGCCTGGGTCCAGAGCCGCCAGCAGTGCCTCGTCGCGACGACGGACGCGCTGACCTACAAGATCAAGGCCGCGGAGGCCGAGTCGAAGAGCGTCGCCGCGGCCGCCGCGGGCGACGCGGCCGCGATCGTCGCCGAGCTCCGGCGCGACGTCGCCGCCGTCGCCGCGAAGTAACGCGCTATAGGTCGCGGCGCGCCTAGCAGGTCTGGGCGACGGCCGCGTAGGCCGCGTCGATGTCCTTGGCGTAGGTCGCGTTGATGAGCGGCCGCTTCGGCTTCATCGTGTCCGTGAGCATGCCGTTCTCCGGCGTGAAGGCGGGCCCGGAATCGCCGCCGTCGACGACGAGGGCGATGCCCGCGGGCGTCTCGAAGGTGCCGAGCTTCGCGGTCTTGCACTCGCCGACGCAGGACGCGTAGACGGCCGCGACGACCTTGGGCTCGCGGCAGAGCGCGGCGGCGTCGGCGCTCGCGATGCCCAGGGACTTGGCCAGGGCGACCAACGGCGGCCGCTGGGGCTGGACGAGCGCGACGACGCGGTCCGCGCCCTGGCGGCCGACGACGATGGGCACCTCGACGTAGGGCGACGTCTTCAGCGCGGACTCGACCTTGGAGAGCGCGACGTACTCGCCCGTGCCGCCCTTGAAGAGGTCCTTCTTCCGGTCGACGATGCGCAGCGCGCCGGACCCCTCGAGCACCGTGCCGACGTCGCCCGTGCAAAAGTAGGTGATCCCGTCGATGTCGACGAAATCCTCCGCGTTCTTCTTCGCGAGCTCCGGGTCCGGGTTCTCCGGGTCGACGAAGTAGCCCCGGGCGATGGTCGGCCCGCCGAGGAGCACCTCGCCGCGCCGCGCGCCGAAGGCCGGGTCCTTGGCGTCGGCGTTCGTGTAGCCGCCCTCGGGCCAGTCGCGGAGGCGGACGCAGACGCCCGGCGTCGGCGGGCCGACGACGTTCGTCGCGTTGTCGTCGATGAGGCCGATGCACGACGCGGCGCAGGACTCCGTGAGGCCGTAGCCCTGGCGCACGGGGCAATTGAAGACCGCCTGGCAGAACCTCTGGATCTCCGCGGAGAGCGGCGCGGAGCCCGTGATCGCGACCTCGAGGCGCCCGCCGAGCAGCTGCTGGATCTTCTTGCAGATGATGTTGTTAACGCAGCCGTCCGTGCCGCAACCGCCCTTGTCGTACTTGGCGTAGCCCGCCTTCAGCGCGCCCGCGAAGAGTGCCTTCTTGAGGCCGCTCTTGAACTTGGCCTTGACGCCGACGTAGACCTTGTCGAGCACGGCCGGCGCGAAGATCATGAGCGTGGGCCGGACGACCATGGCGTCGCCGGCCTGCTTCGGTGTGGTCTGCTTGAGCTTCACGCCCGACGGCGTCAGCGTGTGCGGGTTGCCGTAGCCCACCTGCGCGCCCATCGCGTACATGTGGACCTCGACGAAGAGCTCGAAGATGTGCGCGAGGGGCAGGTAGGCGATGAAGACCGTGGTCTCGTTGACGAAGGGCATGGCCTCCTTGCCCGACGCGCAGCAGGCGACGACCATGGAGTGGGGGATGACGACGCCCTTGGACTTGCCCGTCGTGCCGCTCGTGTACATGATGACGGCGACGTCCGACGCGACCGGCGGCGTCGCGGCGACGGTCGACGCGGACCCGAGGGCGACGAGCTCCGGCAGCGGGGCGAGGACGACGCCGGGCGGCAGGGCCTTGTCGTCGATGAAGCCCGCCTCCGTCGTGATCGGCGCGACGACCTTGAGTTTGCATCGCCGGGCCCGGGTCGTCGCGGCCATGAGCGTCTTCCAGAGCTTGGCGTCGCAGACGCAGACCGTCGCGCCCGTCTCGTCGAGGGCCGTCGCGACGCCCTCGGCGCCGAGCGTCGCGTAGGACGTGACGACGGTCGCGCCCTGGCGCCACGCGGCGAACGCGGAGACCATCCAGTCGCGCTGCGTCTCCGCGAAGATCAGGACGCGGTCGCCCGCGGCGAGCCCGGCCTTGGCGACGAGGCCCGACGCCAGCGCGTCGACCTTGGCGCCGAGCTCCGCGTACGTCGTCCAGGTGAGCGTCGGCGCGAGCGTCTGCTTCTCGAGCTGCTTGCCGTTGACGGACTCGAACTCGCGCTTGACCAGCTCGCGCATGCCGCAGGCGCGGCGGGCCCCGAACTTGGCCCAGGACCCGGACACGAGCTCCCAGCACGTCGTCGCGCCGTTGAGCGTCGCCTCGCAGCAGACGCCCTTGCCGCTCTGGAGCTTGCTCGACAGCACGGGCGACACGGTCATCGTCTCGCCGTGCCACTCGACGGTCTCGTCGCTCTCCGACCGCCACTCGCCGCCGTTGCGGGCGACGCAGGATAAAAGCAGGTCCGGCGCCACCTTCATGCCGCCCATGATTCTCGGGGCGATCCGCTCTGTAATGCAGCCCCCGCAACAGAGCGCTGCTCGCTTCGTTTTCAGAGATCGTTTTCAGCAAAGGTTAACATGCAGCGCGCGTCCCCTTCAACAACTTGGTCAACGTCGCTGCGGCAGCTCGGCTGCCCCAGCGCCGCCGATAGACGCCGATTGTCAAGCGCCACCCATCGTCGATCTATGACGGATTTCCTCTGCGGCGCGGGCAGCAGCAAGCCCGAGGCACCAGACATGGGGAACATGATGGCCATCTTCTGCGCGCCGTCGAGCGACGAGCACGAGCTGCGGCGATGCACGCGGCGAAGCCCGTCCACTCGCTGCTGAAGCTCGACGACCCCTACGACGTCGAGGCCACCAAGAACGCGCCCGCCAACGCTTTCAAGCTCCGCGCGCGCCGGCGCCTCGTCGCGTCCCGCGCCGCGCCGGCGCCGGACCGTCCCCGCGCGCAGGCTCCAAGGAGAGCTACCTCGCGGGCCGGAAGTGGGTCCCCCGCGCCGACGACGTCGTCGTCGCGACGTTCTCAAAGTCCGGGACGACGTTCATGTGCAACGTCTGCCACCAGCTCCGGTCCAAGTGCGAGGCCAACGACTTCGAGGAGATCACGGAGGTCTGCCCCTGGATCTGCCTCGACCGCCGGCCCGCGTCCGCGCGCGCCGCGGCCGCGCGCGCGACGCCGCCGCGCGCAGGCCAAGGACTGCGGCCAGGACCTCGACGCGGACCAGGCGTGCAGCCCGCGCATCTTCAAGAGCCACATGAACCCGTCGAACGTGAACCCCGGCTGCCGGGTCGTCTACGTCGTCCGCGACCCCGTCAAGGTCGCGCTCTCGTACTTCGCGTTCCTCAAGGTCAAGGGCGCGCCGTTCGTCAAGGACGTGGCGAACGCCCTCGACTTCGTGGACCACCCCATGTTCATGGCCGGCCCCGTCGTGAGCTCGTCGAAGCGGGGCAACGTCTGGCAGTTCCTCGTGGAGACGTGGTTCGCGCGGCTCAAGGACGGCGCGCTCGTCGTGCCCTACGAGGACGCGGTCCAGGACACGCCCAAGTGGATCGCGAAGACCGCGGCCTTCATGGGCGTGGACTGCGACGCCGCGCTCGTCGACAACGTCGCCAAGCACACCGACAAGCAGTACATGCTCGACCACGCGACGCAGTTCGACGACCACTGGATCACGGAGCAGCAGGCCAAGGCCGGCAGGGGCTTCGTGGTCCAGAAAGGGTCCAAGGTCACGACGACCGCCCACGAGAAGCCCGACGGCCTCGACGAGAAGATGCAGGCCCACTGGGACGTCTACGTCAAGCCCGTCACGGGCCACGCGACCTACGCCGACATGCTCGCCGACCTCGCCGCGTAGGAGGCGGCCAAATTCATCGACGGGGCGAGCCTAAGAAAGCTGGTGACTCCGGATCCCGGGGCGCGGGTGCGTCCGGCGCGGCGCCCCGCTCGCGGCGAGCGGGGCGTCCGCGCCATCATGACGCGCGCCGGGATCTCCTAGGGAGATCAGTCCATGCCGGCGGCCTTCCTGCACGCGGCGAGGAGCTCGCCCTTGGCCGGGTGGTCGCCGATCTCCGCCTCGTGGTGCGCGAGGACGACGTCGCCCGTCTTCCCCCGGACGACGTAGCAGCCGCCGTGGACGAAGCCCTCGCCCGTGAGGTTGCCCTCGACGGTCTTGGGCACGCGCTTCGTGTTCGCCTTGAGCCGGCTCCAGGGGTTGAGGATCTTCATGAGGAAGGTCGCGAGCGACGTTTTGGTGACGGCGCCGCCGGCGATGGCCTCGTAGAACGCGAGCCGCTCGTCCATGTAGACGGGGAGGTCCGGCCAGAAGCCCTCGCGGAACGCCGCGATCTCGCCGGGCTTGCCGTCCTCGCCGGGCAGGTCCTCCTTGACGACGGCCGACATCTTCACGCCGAGGGCCTCGAACGCCTGCTTCTGGGCGTAGACGCGCTTGACCTCGGCGCGGCAGATCTGTCAGCCGGGCCGCCGCACGACGACGATGAGCGCCGGGTCCTGCTCCCAGAGCTTGGACGCCGCGAAGGGCGCGCGCGACTCGGACGTGAGGTCCACGAGCATGGCGCCGCCGGGCGGCGCCAGCGGCGCCTTGACCATCCTCGCGGTGCTGAACGCTCGCCTCGCGCTGCTGCGAATCGTGGAGACGACTGGCTGTTGCGAATTGCAGCGCGACTCGCTGCTGCGAACCGCCGGAAGCTGCGTCGATGCACGTCGATGCGAGAGCTGCTCCGCGAACAAGCCGAGCCACGCAAGGCGCGCCGAGGTAGATGCTGCCGCTTTGCTGAAGCGTTGGAACGGAGCACCTCAAGAATGCAAGTGGCAGGAATTCGGCGCGTTCCCACGAGTGTGGAAGCGCTTCCAAACGCTGCCCACGGTGCTATGGCGGCGTCGCCGGCGGGCCTGCTGCTGGGCAGGCGCGACGGCAAGCGCTACGGTACGATGCCTGGCGAGCGGAACTATTATTCGGCGTCGCACGGATTGGTGCTCGTCGCGGGGCTGGTCCTGGGCGCGGTGCTGGGCCCCGCGGCGCGGCTCGCCGCCGGTTCGGCGGCGACGCTCCTCGCCGCGCTGCCCGGCGGGCCGGACGTCGCCGCCCAATGGACGTCGTCTTCGAGCTCGTCGCCGAGGACATCGTCGGGGACGTGGCCGGGACGCAGCGCGTGTTCAGCGTCTTCAACCGCGGGCTCCAGGGGCCGACGCGGCGCGTCGCGCTCGGCGACGTCGTCGAGGTGCGCGTCACGAACAACCGGCCCAGCGGCCTGACCCTGCACCACCACGGCATCCACCAGGTCGGCACGCCCTACAACGACGGCGCGTCCATGGTCACGCAGGCGCCCGTCGCGCCGGGCGGGTCGATGGCGTACCGCTTCGTCGCGGAGCCCGCGGGCACGCACTGGTACCACGGCCACGCGGGCACGGACTACGGCGACGGGCTGCGGGGCCTCTTCGTCGTCGAGGACCCGGACGACCCCTACGCGGCCTACCCCGACGACGTCGCGGTCATGGTCGCGGACGTCTACGCGACGCAGACGACGTACGAGTACGTGCTCAAGTTTAACTACAACCCGTTGAACAAGGAGGTCGGCTACGACGCGCAGGCGAAGCCGTCCGTCGGGACGCTGCTCAACGGCCTCGCGGACTTCCGCGCGGCCGCGCCGCGGCAGGCGGTCCGCGCGCGGCTCCTCTGCGGAGCGGCCGACCGCCAGTACGTCGCCTCCTTCGCCGACGGCCGGCCCATGGTCGTCGTCGCGGTCCAAGGGGCCTACGTGAAGCCCGTGGCGGCGACAAAGCTGCGGCTGCGGCCCGGGGAGCGCTACGACGTGATCGTGGACTTTTCCCGCGACGCCGAGGGCGCCGAGGTCGTCCTCGGCTTCCGGGAGCTCGAGCACGGCGAGAAGCCCTACAACGGGACCATCAGTGGGCCCGTCGCCCGGTCCTCGCGGGGCCGCGGCGGCGGCACGAACCAGGGGCGCACGGTCTCCTTCAACCGCGTCAACGCAACGTTCGTCGTCGCGCCCGCGCGGCCCGACGCGCCCCCGATGGTCGCCGCGCCCGCCGCCGGCACGGACCACCAGTGGGGCGACGAGGACCTCGACCTGCTCTTCCCCGCCAAGTTCCGCCTCGACACGCGCTTCAACCCGTCGCCGCCGGCGCGCGCGGCGGACGTCACGCTGCCCGCCGCCATCACCGCAAGAACTACTTCGCGCCGCCGGAGGCGGACTACGCGCAGTCGCGCCACACGTTCTGGACCCTGTCGAACACGTCCTACGCCGACGAGCGTCGACGCCCCTCTCGTGTCCAGGGCCGCTACGGCGTCGAGCGGGACGCGCACTACGGCACGAACGTCGTCGACGTGCCCCTCGGCGCCGTCGTCGACATCGTCGTCGTCAACAACGGCCTGGGCTCCGCGCCGGTCCAGCACCCGCTCCACCTCCACGGCTACCGCTTCTGGGTCGTCGACCACGGGCCGCTCCCCTACCCGGAAAACGACGCGGCCGCGCCGCGCTACAACCTCGACGACCCGCCCTACGTCGACACGTTCCCCGTCGACACGGGCTTCTACGCCGTGCTCCGCTTCGTCGCGGACAACCCGGGCATGTGGCACTTCCACTGCCACTACCTCATCCACATGGTCAACGGCCTCAGCCTCGTCCTCAACGTCGGCGAGGACGCCCAGCCCGAGCCGCCCCGGGCGTGGTGGGACGGCCAGACCTACGGCGGCTACGCGTGCGGAGCCGCCGCGGACGTCGCCGCCTCGCCGGGATCTAACACGAACAGCTAGGACCGACGCGCGCCCGGGGCCCGCTCCGGGCCCCTCGCGCGCCCCGCGCGGGAGAAAAGCAACAAACTCTAAATGCATGCGGGACACGGGGGGAGAGCGGGGGTCCGCGGTACCGGGGCCGGCGGCGGGAGGGGGGCGTCTTGGTCGGGCGGGGCCGCCGGCCGGCCGCGGTCGCGGGGGGGGGAGGGGCGGGCCGCGCCGCGGTCACTGCTTCGGGGGCGCGGGCGGGTCCTCGGCGGGCGCGTCGCCGGCGCCCCCGCGCCCGCCGCTGCAGAAGGGGCTCGCGGGGAAGTCGCCCGGCGCGTTCGCGCGGCCCTCCGGGTCCGTCTCGCCGCAGAAGAACTGCGCGACGAGCGACTGGCGCTGGGCCGCCTTCGAGGGCGTGCCGACGCCGACGAGCTCCGTCTCGAGGCCCTTCTCCGTCTCCTCGAGGAACTCCATGGTCTCGCCGAGCACGGGGGCCTTGCGCGCGAGCTCGTTGAGGTGCTGCGCCTCCGCGAGGCCCGCGCCGGCGACGTCGCCGAAGGGGTCCGGGATCTTCGTCTCCTCGGCCAGGGGCTCGGGCGTCGTCTTCTCCTTCTTCTTCTTCCGCTTCTTCTTCTTCTTCTTCGACCGGGGCTCCGTCTTCTGGCTGCCCCAGATCGCGGAGCCGAGCGCGCTCAGCCGCTGCGACATGCGCTTCTTCGGCGCGCCCCGGTCGGACTCGTCCTCGTCGCTGAACTCCTCGTCGCCCTCGGCCTCGTCGGGCATGTACATGGCGCTGCACTTGAGGAAGTTGAGGAGGAACAGGAACGTGGGCCAGGGGCACTTGGCCTCCTTCCAGTAGTCCGCGCACGCCGCCTCGAAGATCGCGTTGCACTTGTCGTCGCTCAGCCGCGTCCGGTTCGGCGGCAGCAGGCCCGTGAGGTAGTTGGCGCAGAGGTACTTGACCAGGGGCCGCATCATGAAGTCGCGCAGGCCGCCGTTGCCCTCCTGCTGCTGCGTCGTCTCGATGCGGAACTCGAGCATCTTCGCCTTGACCTGCTCCTCGGCCATGCGCATGTAGACGCCGTGGAACAGGGGCACGATGTCCGGGCCGATGCAGGGCGTGTCGAAGAGGACCGCCGCCTTCTTCGCCACGTCGAGGGCCATCTTGAGCTGGGCGTACTCCTCCTTGATCTCCTCCGTGGACTCGGCGAACGCGATCGTCGTGATGCCGATGATGACCGTCGGGAGCATCCACGCGCCCACGAGGACCAGGGACGTGAAGTAAAAGGCCGCGATCCAGCCGAAGCTCCGCGAGTTGGCGCACTCGACCTCGTTGAAGGGGTAGCCGAAGCGCACGCAGCCGTACATGTTCGTGTACATGATCACGTCCCAGCCGTCCGTCGTGCACACGGCCCAGACGGCCGCGATGGCCTGGTGGAGCGTCCCGAAGTGGCCCGGGTCGTTGACGCGGAAGATGAGGATGCCGATGACGGCGTAGACGTAGACCACGAGCACGAGCACGATGGCCGCGTAGAAGATGTTCGCCGACGCCTTGATGATCGACGACACCGCGACGTTCAGCGCGGGGTAGAAGTTCACGAGCTTCAACAGCCGCAGCAGCCGCAGCATGGCGACGCCGGGGATGGAGTCCGCCGCCGCGGGGATCATGCCCAGCACCGAGATGCAGACGATCACAAAGTCGAAGACGTTCCACGAGTCCGCGAAGTAGCGGTACGGCGCGCGGCCGCACGCCAAAATCTTCAGCACGCACTCGACGCAGAAGACGCCGAGCACGGACGTGTCGATGAGCGCGAGCGTGTCCTCGTCCACGGGCTCCTCCGGGTCGATGGCGAAGGCCTCGATGAGGCCCGCGATGAGGATGCAGACGACGACGATCGTCGGGAAGACGTGGCCGTTGCAGATCCACCGCGCGGTCGTCACGAGGGGCTTCAGCGCGCCGAGGTCCTCCTCCTCCTCGTCGAGCTTCGAGATGCGCGGCTCGAAGAACTGCTCGAAGACCGCGTCGAAGTTCTCCTTCTCCGGGCCCTCGAGCATCTGCGTGCACATCTCCTCGGCCGTCTTCGGCGGCGCGATGGACTTGCGCCCGCCCATGGGGCCCATGCGCACCATGTCGAAGATGGACCCCCGCTTCAGGTTCGTCGCGGCGGCGCTGAGGCCGCCGACGAGGCCCGTCGACGACTTGCGCTCGGGCGGCGGCGCGAGCGACGGCGTGAGGCCCGCGTCCGCTAAAATGGACGCGCGCTTCGTCGCCGTGCCCGCGAGGCCCGCCTCGGCGAGGATGGACGCGCGCTTGCCCGGGATCGCCGCGCCGGGCACCATGGCCTGCGGGTCCGCGAAGGACATGCGGCGGCTCGCGGTCACGGGCGGCGGCGCCGCGCCCTCGTCCTTCTCCGCGTTCTCCGCGTGCTCCTCGACCTTGTCGGCGTACAAGATGTCGAACATGGCCATGTCGATGGCCGAGATGAAGAGGTTCAGGACGACGAAGGCCGTCAGCAGCGTGAAGGAGTAGAAGTAGACGATCGCGTCGAACTTCCGGGGCGTCGGGTCGTAGCAGTCGTAGTTGTAGAAGCGGCCCACGGCCGTCTCGAACTTCGTCAGCTCGTCGGTGAGCACGTAGCCCCAGTCCTCGCCGCCCTTGTCGCAGCCCTTGTAGTTGATGGCCATCATGTGGCTCCAGTCGGACAGCGTCGACGCGACGAAGAGCGTGAGCATGGCCACGGGCAGCGTCCCGAAGTGGGCCGGGTCGTTCTCCCCGAAGCTCTTGACGCCGATGATGGCGTACAAGAACAGGATCATCGTCAGCAGGACGACGATGGACGCCATGGCCCGGAAGCCCGCGATGATGCCGTAGAGCACGCGCCGCGTCTCCGGCGACCGGTTCAGCAACTTCACGAGGCGCGCGAGGCGCAGCACCGGCAGAATGGCCTCGCCGCCGCCGCCGCCCATCAGCGCGAAGGACAGGATGACGATGGTCGAGTCGAAGGTGTTGATGCCGCTCTCGGGCCCCGTCCAGTACCTCAGCGGCCGCGTGCCCTCGGCGACGATCTTGACGACCATCTCCGCCGCGAAGACGAAGAGCGACAGGAACTTGACGAGGGTGACGAAGAAGAAGAGCTCCGCGGAGGACGGCTTCGACAGGTCCGGCTTGTTGATGAGGTGGAGCGTGAGCGCGACGGCGACGAGGCCGATCGTGCCGTTGACGATCATCTCGAAGCGCGCGTCGCGCACGAGCTGGACGTGGGAGAAGCAGATGCAGCGGACGGCCCAGGGCACGGGGAAGCTGTAGAGGCCCTCGTCCCAGGGGAGCATGTAGCCCGTCGTCGTGCTCTCCTCGTACCAGTAGTAGTCGCCCCGGTTCTTCGTCGCGTTCTCGTCCTCGCCGAAGACGCGCTGCTCGTGCTTCTCGAGCACGGCGACGGGGTTCGTCTTGATCTGCTCGTTGATGATCTCGCCGTCGAGGATCTCGTCCTCCTCCTCCTCCTCGTCCGTCTCCCGCGCCTTTTTCACCTTGTAGATCATGGCCATGGCGGCGGCGGCGGCACCCGGGGGCCCAGCCCCGGCGCCCCCCTGTTTTCAAAGCGCCCCGGTCCACCGGCCAAAGCGACCCGCGCGGGAACGTCTCGCCCGCCCCGCGGTGGTCCCGGGGGGCTGCCCGAGGCCGAGCCCAGCCTGTTGTGAATTTCGTCGCCTCTCCTTCTCGCAAGTTGTTGATACGGTGTCTCGGCATCTTTAGCCTAGTCGGAGCGGGCATGGGATGAGGGGGCTGCGGGCGTCGATGGTGCGACGATGAGGTGGCTGCTGGCGCCGCTGGCCGTCGCCGCCGCCGAGGACTTCGCGGCCCACGCCGCGGCGCGCCTCGCGCGCGAGGAGCGCGCCTGCGGGCCCTGGGTCGGCCGCGTGCTCGAGCGCCGCGGCCCGAGCCTCGTCTACGAGCGCGCGCCGACGGGCCTCGCGGACATCTTCAGCGCCATGCTGACGGCCCTCTGGTCCGCGACGCTCAGCGGCCGCCGGCTCGCCGTGCACTGGCCCGAGAGCGCCGGCACGGTGCATCTCGGCGGCCGCGAGGTCCGGCGGCGCGAACCCGCGCGCCTCGCGGCGAACGCGACGTACTTCAAGCGCACGCACGAGGCCTTCCGCGAGGCGCTGCGGGCCGGCGCCGCCGGCGCGGTGCCCTGGCCCGGGGGCGACCCCTGGGTCGTGAGCGGCAACCGGGGGCTCACGGGCTGGCTCTTCGACGACGCGGCGACGCGCGCCGCGCTCGCGGCCGCGGGCGTCGATGCCAAAACGGCCGTCGCCGCGGCGGGCTGCGCGCTCCACCGCCTCGCCGCGCCGTCGCGGCGCGCCTACCGCGACGTCGTGCGGCCGCTGTTGGCCGCGCTCGACGCGCGGCGCGCGCGGGGCCCCGTCGTCTGCCTCCACGCGCGCACGGGCCTCATGCCCGAGGTCGAGGCGAAGAAGTGCGCGCCGGGCGCGTCGCCGCCGCCCAAGAAGCGCTGCGCCCGGCCCGACGACGAGATGCACGGCGCCGCGGCGGCCGTGTCCGTCGCGGACCTCGCGGGTTTCGTCGCCTGCGCGCGCGCCGCGGAGGCGGCCGCGGGCGGCGCGGCGACCTGGTTCTTCGCGGCGGACTCGGCGTCGCTGCGGCGCGACTTCGTCGCGACCTTCGGCGCCGACAAGGTGCTCCTGGCGCCCTGGGCGCCGGACCCCTTCGCCGCGTACCAGCACGGCGGCGGCTCCCGCGGCGGCGGCCGCCGCGACAGCGTCGTGCCCGACGACGGCGACCCGGACCGCATGCGCGGCGCCCTCGGCCGCACCTTCGCCGAGTGGTACGCCCTCAGCCGCTGCGACCACCTCGTCGCGTCGCGGAGCGGCTTCTCGCGGACCGCCGCGGTCGTCGCGGCCGCGACGCGCAACGCGACGGTCCACTACGTCTCCCGCCTCGACGCGTCCTGCCGGCGCGCCGACCCCGGCTCGCCGACGGAGCGGCTCCTCGTGACCGGCGGCGCGGGGCTCTAGTAGCTTACCCCCGGGGTGGCGTCTCCGGCCTAGACCTCCGCCTTCGGCTTCTTCGGCTTCCGCTTCGGCGGCGGCTTCTCGGACCGCGCCTGCTGCGGCATCTTCTCCCTCTCGGCGATCTTCGCGCCGAAGGACGCCGTCTGGATGACTTGGAGGAGGCCGGAGCCGACGACGACGAAGAGGAAGAAGCCGATCATGAGCGGCCCGATCGGCGCCTTGCCCTTCTTCTTCTCCGCGCTCTTGTCGACGACCTGGCCGCGCTTGTTGATGTTCGCCGCGTGTTTCTCGCTGCGCAGGCGGGTCGCGCCTAGAAGAGACGCATGTTTGGCGGGCCGGAGCGGCGGTTTCGGGCGCGCGCGCGTCGGCGGCGAGCGCGAGCGGAGCTTTCGGGTGCGCGCGTGTCGGCGGCGAGCGCGATCTTTGGAACAGTGCTCGCGTTTCAGGCCGCCATCGAGGCGTGCGACGAGCGCCGGCTTGCCGACGGACCGAGCGCCGCGCGTCGCGGATCACGAGACGCGCAATCACCCAGGAACTGTGTCCGCGAGCGGTGCGGGCCGCGGACCCGTTCCAACGCCGCCCGGAGCGCCCCCTCTGAGTAAATTGCGAGAAAGCACTAGTGGTTGCCCGGAGGACGCTGAGCCGCGCGAGGAGCCGGCATCTTCTGGACTCGTGGGCAGCGACGACACGCGGCGACGAGAGCTTCAATCAACAGGTCTCGAGGCGTTTGTGGATCGGCTACGGCATCGCCGGCTCGGCGAGCCCGAGCATCTCGTGCTGCGGCAAGAATATCACCTCGGCCGCCGTCACCGTGCACGCGCCAGTCGACGCATCGCAATCCATGTTCGCCACGGCCCTGAAACGGGCCCCCGGCCTCTGCGCCGCCGCGGCCACGGCCGCCGGCGGCACGGCGGTGGCGTCGCAGCTGCCCTCGGAGCTGCACATCTCGGGCATCCCCGTGTCCATCGTGCTCGGCGCCTGCGCGGGCAACGCCGCGCCGGCGGCGCTCAAGGAGGCGCTCAAGCCCGGCGTCGCCTTCGCGACGTCGACGGTGCTCCGGAGCGGCATCGTCGCCGTCGGCGCGAAGCTGTCCGCGGCGCAGGTGCTCGCGCTCGGCTGGACGACGGTGCCCGCGGCGGCCTGCAGCGTCGGCGCGGGCTGCCTCGTCATCCCCGCGCTCGCCGCGAGGGCGGGCCTCGCGCCGCGGCTCGGCGCGCTCCTGGCCGCGGGCACGAGCATCTGCGGCGTCACGGCGATCGGCGCGACGGCGCCGGCGATCGGCGCGACGCAGGCCGAGGTCGCCGTCGCCGTCGCGAACGTCGTCGCCTTCGGGTCCGCGGGCATGCTCGCCTACCCGCACGCGGCCGCGCGCCTGTTCCCCGCGGACGACTCGTCGCACGTCGGCCTGTTCCTCGGGCTCGCGGTCCACGACACGGCCCAGGTCATGGGCTGCGCCGCGTCCTACGCGGAGCAGTACTCGGACGCCGCCGTCGTCGGCGCCGCGGCCGTGGCGAAGCTCACGCGGAACGTGTTCTTGGCGGGCGTCGTGCCGCTCATGGCGCTCAAGCACGGCGGCGCGGCGTCGGGCAAGTCCATCGCCGCGGCCGTGCCGTCGTTCGTCGCCGGCTTCGTGGGCATGTCGGCCGTGCGGAGTTTGGGCGACTACCAGGTCGCGTCGGGCGGCAAGGCGCTGGGCCTGCTCGACGCCGACGACTGGAAGCGACAGGCGGACTGGGTCGGCGCGGTGCTCGGGACGAAGGTGCTCCTCGCGACGGGCCTCGCGGGCGTCGGCCTGTCCGTGGACTTTAACGCGTTCAAAAGCGCGGGCGTGCGGCCCTTCGCCGTCGGCGCCGCGGGCGCGACGATCGTCGGCGGCGTCGGCCTCTCGACGGCCCTCCTGCTGTCGCATCTCAACCGGCCAGCGACGGCGCCTTAACCGATTTTCCTACTTGCCGCCGCCGGCGGAGCAGTCGAGGCGGAAGATCTTGCCGAACTCCTCGGGCGCGAAGAGCTTGTAGTCGTCGTCGCCGGGGCCGACTTTGAACTCGAGGGACTCGCCCTCCTTGCCGTCGAGCAGCGCGTAGCGGAACGTGCCGTCGCTCCGCTCGACGACGGCCATCTCGTCGAGGCGGATGCCGAGCACGTCGCGCCTACGGCGGCGGCGTCGCGTCGTTTCCCCGGCCGACTCGTCGTCCGCGCGCGCGGCCGGAACTATCGGTGGGATGCGCGCGCGACATGCGCCACCGAAAGCACACGCTCTCGAACATGTGCGACGCTGCGTCGCGCTTCTCGTTGGAACTCCCGTCCATGTCGGCGCCCGACGCCACCTCCCCGAGCTCGCGGCCGCCGGACCCTTTGGCCTCGCCGCCTTTGGACTCGCCGCCCTTCGCTTCGTCGTCATCCTTGCTCTCGCTGCGAGGCATCGCGTCGACGCCGCGCCGGCGCGGCGGGTCGGTCGACGAGCAACGCGCTTAGCAGCGCGCGCGCGCAGAGGCTGCCCAGCGTCAAGGTCTAAAACAGTACGGGAAATACAAACTTTTGCTAGCGCCCAGCGTAGCATGGGGGCTGCGTCGAGCGTCGCAGCCCCGGCGCCGGCGCCTGGTGGCAATGGCGCGAGTGCCGACGCAACGCCGGAGGCGCCGGCGCCGGCGGAGGACGAGGACTGGAGCTGGCGGCGCGTGGAGCTCGGCCGCTACGACGTCGCCGGCGTCGACGTCCTCGGCGTCGGCGCGCACTGCGTCGTGCGCCGCGCGACGGACGCGGCGACGCGAACGTCCGTCGCGCTCAAGGAGTACCGGGGCCCGGGCGCCGCCGCGCGGCTGGCGCGCGAGGTCGCGGTCATGGCGCGGCTCGCCGCGGGCGCGCCGTGGTTCGCCGCGGCGCTCGACTACTCGAGGACCGCGGCCGGCGCGCCCGGCGCGGACCCGGCGACGGGCCGGAGCCTCGTCGCCCTCGAGCTCTCGGAGCTCGCGCTCGACGACGTCGCGCGGCGCGGCCCGTCGCCGCCCGGCCGCGTCGCGGCCGCCGCGCGCGACGTCGGCGCCGCGCTGGGCCACATGCACGCGCTGGGCCTCGTCCACGGCGACGTCAAGCCGGCGAACGTCGTCCGCGTCCGCGGCGCCTGGCGCGTCATCGACGTCGACGACGCGCTCGACGCGGCCGCTCCCGCGGATTGCAACGGTTTTTTCACGGAGCTCTACGCGGCGCCGGAGGTCGCCCGGGCCGCCGCGGCGGAGGCGGCGCTCGTCGCGGCGCCGGCCTGGGACGTCTGGTCCCTCGGCGCGACGGCCATCGAGCTGCTGCTCGGCGAGCCGCCCCTGCTGAGGGCCATCGAGGACCGCGGCGACGCGTTCCTCGGCTGGCTCGGCGGCCTCGACCAGGCGGCCGTCGACGCCTGGCTCGCGGCGCGCGTCGCCGACGGGCCCCTCGCGGATCTCCTACGGCGCGCGTGCGCCGTCGACGCCGCCGCGCGGTCGCCGGCCGCGGCGCTCGCGGCCGCGGCCGCCGCGGTCGCCGTCGACGAGGGCGACGACGCCTTCGGCGCGCCGGCGCCGTCGGCGGACATCGTGTTGACGTCGGGCGTCGACGCGTCGACGCCGCAGCGCGCGTCGGCCTTTTCGCTCTACCGCGAGGACGCGCTCCCCGCGCTCCTCGCGGGCGGCCTCGACCGCAAGGCGGCGACGAAGCAGTGCGCGAAGGACTTCGCCCGGCTCAAGAAGGCGGACCCGGAACAGGCCGCGTCCTACGCGCGGCGCGCGGCGGACTTGAATATGACTTGATTACTTTTTGCCCGCGAGTCGCGCCGCGCGCGCCGCCTCGGCCTTTTGCTTCGCGTTCGCGAACTGCGACGGCGGCGGCGTCGCGCGCGTGGGCGCGCTGAAGGCCCGAGCGGGCTTCGCCTGCTCCTTCTTGGGCGCGGACGGCTTGAAGCTGAGCTTCGCCGGCGCGGGCGCCGCCTTCGCGGGCGCCGCCGCTTTGGGCTTGCCGCCGAACGAGAACGGCGACGCGGCGGCCTTCTTCGGCGGCTCCGCGGCCTTCTTGGCCGGCGCGGCGGCCTTGGGGCCCCCTTCTTCGGCGCGGGCGTCGGCGCGGGCGCGGGCGCCTTGGCCTTCGGCGCGCCGCCGAAGGAGAACGCGGGCTTCTTCGGCGCGGGCGTCGGCGCGGGCGCGGGCGCCTTGGCCTTCGGCGCGCCGCCGAAGGAGAACGCGGGCTTCTTCGGCGCGGGCGCCGGCGCGGGGGTCGGCGCCTTGGCCTTCGGCGCGCCGCCGAAGGAGAACGCGGGCTTCTTCGGCGCGGGCGTCGGCGCGGGGGTCGGCGCCTTGGCCTTCGGCGCGCCGCCGAAGGAGAACGCGGGCTTCTTCGGCGCGGGCGTCGGCGCGGGCGTCGGCGCCTTGGCCTTCGGCGCGCCGCCGAAGGAGAACGCGGGCTTCTTCGGCGCGGGCGCCGGCGCGGGGGTCGGCGCCTTGGCCTTCGGCGCGCCGCCGAAGGAGAACGCGGGCTTCTTCGGCGCGGGCGCCTTGGCCACGGGCTTGGCGGCGGCGGCCTTGGCCTTGGCGGCGGCGTCGGCCTTGGCCTTGGCGGCGGCGTCGGCCTTGGCCTTGGCGGCGGCGTCCGCCTTGGCCTTGGCGGCGGCATCCGCCTTGGCCTTGGCGGCGGCGTCGGCCTTGGCCTTGGCGGCGGCGTCCGCCTTGGCCTTGGCGGCCGCGTCGGCCTTGGGCGCGGCGGCCTTGGGCGCGCCGCCGAAGGAGAACGGCGACGCCGCCTTCTTCGGCGGGGCGGGCGCGGCCTTGGGCGCGGCGGCCTTGGGCGCGGCGGCCTTGGGCGCGCCGCCGAAGGAGAAGGCCGGCGCTTTCGGCTTGGGCGCCTCCTCCTTCGGAGGGGCCTTGGGCGCGGCGGGCTTCGGGGCGCCGCCGAAGGAGAAGACGGGCGCCTTGACGACGGGGTTCGCGGGCGGCGCCTTCTTCGGCGGCGCGGCGGCCTTGGGCGGCGCGGCGGCGGCCTTGGGCGCGGCGGGCTTGTCGCCGCCGAAGCTGGGGAGGCTGAAGGCCGGGGCCGGCGCCTTCTTCGGCGCGGCCGGCGCGGCCTTGGGCGGCGCGGCCTTGGGCGGCGCGGGGGCCTTGGGGAGCGAGAAGGCCGGCGCGGCCTTCTTCGGCGGCGCGGGCGCCTTGGGCGGCGCGGGCGCCGGCTTGGGCGGCGCGGCGGCCTTGGGCGGCGGCGGCGGCGGCGTCGGGAGCTGGCCCAGGAGGTTGTCGAGGGCCTTCTGGGGCACGGCGAGCGTCTCGTCGACGGCCCTGCCCGCCTCCGCGACGGCGTCCTCGGCCGCCTTCTGCGCGGCCGCGGCCGCGCGGCCCGGCGTCGCCTTGACCTCGTCGACGGCGTCGAGCGCGGCCTGCTGCGCGGCGTCCGCGGCCTTGCCCGGGAGCCTCTTGACCTCGTCGACGGCGTCGAGGGCCGCCTGCTGGGCCGCGTCGGCGGCCTTGCCCGGCAGGGCCTTGACCTCGTCGACGGCGCCGAGCACCGCGTCCTTGGCCGCGTCCGCCGCGTAGCCGGGCACGCGCTTCGCCTCCTCGACGGCGTCGAGCGCCGCCTGCTGGGCGGCGTCGGCGGCCCGGCCCGGCAGGGCCTTGACCTCGGCGGCGGCGGCGGCGGCCGTGGCCTCCGCGGCCGCGCCGGCCGCGTCGAGCGTCGCGGAGCCGGCTTCGCCGACCGTCGACCGGAGCGTCTCCGCGAGCTCGTCGTCGCCGGACGCGACGGCGTAGCCGCCGACGCCGAGGAACGCGGCGGCGGCCAGCGGCAGCGCCGCGCCGATCTCGAGGGCCGTCTCGACCTCGAGCACGCCGCCGGCGACGAGGCCCAAGGCGCCGAGCACCGACCCCGCGCCGATCGCGGTCTTCTGCTTCGCGGCCTGCTTCGCCGCGTCGCGCGCCGCGCGCTCGCGCGCGAGCTGCGCCGCCGCCGCCGCCTCCTCGGCGCGCACGGCGCTCTCGAGCTCCTCGCGCGACAACTTGCCCTTGGAGAACGCGGCGATGGCGTCGGCGAGCGACTTCTTCGCCGCCTCGGCGCCGCCACCCGGGTCGGCGCGGACGGCGATGCGATGCCGCGGCAGGCTCGGCGACCGCGGCGCCACCCAAGCCGCCGCGGTGGCGAGCAGCGCGATGAAGAGTCGCACCATGTTGACGAGCCGGAAGGCGATCTGCTTTGGTGGCACGGCATCTTGAACTCGGGGTTTGGCACTCCGCGCCCATTCATCACGTTGAAGGCCGGCGGCGGCATGGTTGTGGGCAGCCCGTAGCGCGTCGCGAAGGATGACCCGCAGGTGTGGGCAGCCGTAGCCCCTCGCGACAAGGATGGCCCGGGTCCTGCGGGTCTGCGCGACCTGCGGCGTCGAGCGCCCGTCCATGGACCGCTGCTCGCGCTGCGCCATGGTCTATTACTGCGGGCGCGAGTGCCAGCGCGTCGGCTGGCCGCGGCACCGGCCCGTCTGCGGGAAGACGCTCGACGGCGACGCGCCCCACGTCAAGGCCGGCTTCAGCAAGAGGGACGGCCGCGCGTGGATGGACGCGGCCGCGCGCAAGGCCGTCACGGCGCTCAAGGACGCGGGGCTGCCCGCGGAGGCGGAGGACTGGAGCGCCGCGCGGCTCGAGGCGCTCATGGACTGCGCGCTGATCCCGTTCCTGATCAACCACATGGAGAGCGCCGCCGACCACCAGCAGGACCTCGTCTGCTCCATGCTGCGCGTGCTCGGCCTGCTGACGCTCCGCGCGGGCAGCCGGCCGAGCTCCATGCTCCTCGAGATGCTCCGGCAGCACGAGGAATGCGCGCCGCCCATCCCGCCGCCGCCGGCCAACTACCCCGTGGCCCAGGCGCGCATCGGCGCGCGCGGGGGCGCCGGCGTCTACGAGCCCTTCCCGCGCGGCCACGCGCTCCGCGGCGCCTACGACTCCAACGAGGTCACGCTCCTCGACCTCCTCGAGCAGCGCTACGACGACGGCCGGCGCATCTGGAAGGCCGAGCCCGAGCTGGGGCTCGGCGCCGACGGCCACGGCCTCATCCTCTCCTGCGAGCGCCTCTGCATGGAGCTCTGCGGCGTGTCGAGCCGCGTCCCGGAGCGGTAGATGCCTCGTTACACGGTCTTGTGTGTCCGCGCCGCGTCGCGGCGCGCGCACCCGAGGACGCGCGCCACGAAGCCGCGGCGCGCCCGCGGCGGGGCCGGCGGCGGCGCGCGGCGCCCGAAGATGTAGGGCGTCCGCAGCTCGTCGACGAGGCGCGCGTCGACGTCGCCGACGATGCGCGCGCACCGGAACTGGGCCCGCGGCGGCAACGTCTCGTAGAGCTCCCGGGGCACGCTCGCGCGGAAGCCGGGCTCGAGCCAGGGCGCGCAGTATTCGACGTTCGGGACGGCGCGCGTCCCCTGGGAGAGGTTCGGCGTCCCTCCGTGCCAGGCCCGCAGATCCCGTACGACGGCCCAGCCGGCCCGGCAGGGCAGCAGCGTCGACCGTTTCCATGCGTCCGGCTCGTCGGCGAGCGACGGGATCGGGTCGCGGGTCGTCGACGTGGCCGGGATCTGCCGGAGCGGCCCGTTCGTCCGCGTGAAGTCTTGGGGCAGGAAGTTGACGGTGACGAGGGCGACGGGCGCGTCGCGCGCGTCCACGTCCTCGCCCTCGAAGCAGAGCTCGCCGCCCGTGTCCGCGTGGAGCGGCTGGTAGCTCGCCGCGCCCGGGAGGCAGAAGTCGCCGCCCATCGAGCACGCGCGGTACTCGTCGGAGTCGAAGATCGCCGCGAGAACTGGTTGGACCGTCGCTAATTCCACGAGCTGCGTCCACTCGGGGCAATGACCGCAGCTCCCGCTGCGGTGCGCGCCCCCGAAGCTAAAACGGTGCGAGCCGCGGTTGCCTCCCGCGCCGAAGGCGTCGACGATGCGTTTCATCTCGCGCGCGCAGCCGGCCCGGAGTAGTTCCAGCTGCGCCGCGTCCAACACATCGCGCACGACGACGAAGCCCTCGCGGCGGAAGAGCTCCGCCGCGCGCTCCACCTGGGTCGGATCGACGGTCTCGAGGTCGCGCATGCCGTTCTCGGCGGCGAGGCTCGCGCGCAGCGCCGCGACAGCCGCATCGTCGCTCGCGCCCCGCCAGCCGAGGGCGTTGAGCGCCTCCGGCCACACCGACGGCGGCGGCGGCGGCGCGTTCATGCTGGGCAGCCTCTTGGCATCATCCATCATGATGGAAAGGTCGAGGAAGAATCTCGACCGAGCATCATTCGACCGTGGGGGGGGCTTATCCAGGGGGGTTCGTGGGGTACCTTGGCGAGCCGAGCCAGGTGCTCCCCTGCAGTGCGTGCTCCAGCCGCGGCGAGGGCTGGCACAGCGCCCCCGGACGCGGCGGGCCAACCGACCTGCCTCCAGAAAAGAAAAGCCACCCTGTATCTTAAGCCCCGCTTCAGTCGAGCGTGTCGTATTCGTAAGGCGCCGTGTCCTCGCCGATGCGGTCGAAGACGTCGCGCGGCGAGAGCGGGCCGGCCTGGTCCGGGAGCGCGTCGCGGATGGGCCAGGAGTCGTCGCCGAGGACGCCGTCGAGGAGGTGCGCGGCGCAGTAGACGTCGTCGGCCTTCACGCCCGCGCGGGGGAAGCCGTAGTGCGGCGCGGCGTCGCGGTGCGTCCGCTGCCACGCCATGAAGAAGCGGTCCATGTTCACGTGGTGGAAGAAGAAGAGGGGGTCGTTGGGCGACGAGATGGGGTCGTACATGTCGCCGACGACCTGGACGTACTCCGGCGCGACGATCGTCTCGACGTAGGCCGGGTCTCCGGTCCAGACGCCGCCGCAGCCGCAGTCGTCGCGCGCGCACGCGCAGACGCAGTCGGCCTCGTCCAGGCCCTCCGCGGCGCAGTCGGGGCAGTCGAGGCAGCCCGCGTTGATCGGGTAGACGTAGGACCCGAGCTGCCTGTCCTCGCCGCGGGAGCCGACCATGCCGTAGAACGACGCGCACAGGGGCGCGGCGTTGCCGCTGATGTTGCCCGTCGCCGGCGGCTGGTGCGCGTAGCGGGGCCAGCCCCCGCCGACCCCGAAGTGGGCCATGCCGTGGACCTCGTAGTCGATGCAGAGGTGCATGTCGCGGACGTCGTCCGGCTCGAGGCACGCGGCCCACCAGCTCGCGTTGCCCACGCCCACGGGCACGCCGCACATGGTCCCGCCGTTGCGCGTCGCGTTCGGGCTCCGGTTCATGCTCATGGGCCCGCGCAGCCCGCCGTAGAGGCCCCGCCAGCCCTGGGCGCCGTCCGCGGCCGCGGCCACGGGCCAGTCGGCGAAGCGCCCGTTCGTGACCTCGAAGCCCGGCCCTTGGCCGACCCAGTCGCCAAAGTAGTGGTCCGTAAACACGCCGCCGGCGCGCCCGGGGTCGTCGGCGTCGGGGCGGTAGTCCCAGTAGGGCGCGCCGGAGATGTTACCGTTCACCGCCAGCAGAGCGTTTTCGAACTGGAGCTCGAAGGCGCGGTGCCAGACCACGAAGATCGGCGAGAAGTGGGCCGCATCGCATTTCGCGTTCAGCGACGCGACGACGTGCTGCGCCACGAAGGAGTCGTAGGTCCGGAACGCCGGGCCGTAGCGCGCCTCGCCCTCGGCCTGGCCCAGGCGCTTCATTGTCCACATGGCGTCGACGACGTCGCCCCACTCGGCCGCCGACAGGCTCCGCACCTCGCGCCGCACGCGGCGCCCGGCCGTGGCCGACGCCGCCGCGGCGCACGCGAGCGAGAGCCATCGGAGGCGGCAGCCCATAATTCTGGCCAATCAGCTCCTCGTGCAACGTTGCATTCAAGTTTACGCGGGGCTGAGCGCGGCGAGCTCCGCGCGGTGTCGGCCGACCTTCCAGCGCGCGTCCGCGCAGAGGAGGTTCGCGGCGAAGGGGTCCATGGACAGCGCCATGGCGTTGGGCCAGTCGTCGGCGACGTTCGCCGCGACCGCCGGGTCCGCGAAGGACGCGAGGAACGACGGCGACCGCTCGAGGGGGAAGACGAGGAGCGCGTCGAGGACGTAGGCCTCGACGCCGAGGTACGCGTTCGCCGCGACGCGGACGCCGCGCAGCGCCGCGCGCGCGCCCGCCGTGAGGTTCGCGAGCGCCGCGGGCCAGAGGGCCCCGTCGAAGACCGCGAGGACGTCCGGTCCCGCGACGGCGTTCATCGAGTCCGTGGGGCCGGCCGCGCCAAATAAATAGGCCAGCGACGCCGGCTGCGCCGCGACGCCGCCGTTGTTGTTGTCGTAAAAGGCGACGACCGTCGTCGCCTGGCGGCGCAGGAGCGCCGCGATGCCCGTCGTGTCCACCATGCCGCCGTCGAGGACGATCGCGTCGTCGCCCGCGGCGCTCGGCAGCGTGATGAGCTCGTCCTTGAGCAGCGCGTACTCGGCGCCGCTCTCGACGATCGCCGCGGCCCAGAACGCCGACGAGAAGCTCGCCGCGTTCATGAGGCTGAAGTCGGCCGGCAGCGTGACGCTCGCGCCGCGGAGCCCCGGCGTCGACGCGCGCGGCGTCGCCGCCATGGCGACGTCGACGGGGCGGAGGCGCGCGGCCGCGGCGCCGTAGACGCCGTCGGCGTCGCGCGAGATCGGCGCCGCGCCCGTGTCGAGGAGCGCCGCGCCCGCGGTCCAGGCGCGGTCGCCGGCGACGAGCGCCCACGGCTCGACGGCGTAGGCCGACAGCGCGGCCGCGTCGAGGGCCGCCTCCCACCAGCCGTAGACCGTGCCCACCGCCGTGCGGTTCTCCTTGTCGGGCGACGCCGCCCGCGCGTTCGCGACCTCCTCCGTACGTCGCGCGTCCGCCGCCGCTCGCCTCATGTCCACCTCCGTACGTCGCGCGTCCGCCGCCGCTCGCCCCGCGCGCGGCGCGTCGCGGCCGCGCCGCGCGGCGCGAGCGGCGTGAGCGCGGCTTCCGTCGGGGATCTCGCGCACGATCTGCGCGAACCAGGCCTCGCCGTCGTTCGCCCGCGCCTCGCGGAGGCTCTCGTAGGTGGCGTTCGGCCCCGTCTCCGGGTAGGTCAGGTTCTTGAAGCGCGGGGCGTTCACGTGGAGCAGGTAGCCCAGCGTGCCGCCGCTCACCGTCGAAACGACGACGTCCGGCCCGAGGGGCCCCAGCGCGTCGAGCAAGCACAGCGCGCAGACGCAGGCCGTGACGCCGCCCCCGCTGAGGGCCAGGCCCACGACCATCGTGCTCTGCCTGTCAGAGGCGCTGTCCAATGAGAAGCAGCCCCGTCGAGATGCATCAAAACTCGATGCAACAAAACTCGTCGAGATGCATCGACACAAGTTGTTCAACGTCGGCCCCGGGCAGCCCCTCGGCAGCGCTGCGTGTGGGGATGCCCTCGGCCTATGGCGCCGTCGCCGGCGACAAGCGCATCTACGGGCGCCCGCCCCGCCGACGGCTCGACCCCCTGCGGCGCCACTCGCGCGAGAGCGGCGACCAGGAGTCCCAGACCAACGCCAAGGACCCGGACATCGTGACGCGGAGCCGCGAGGAGGCCCACGTCTGGAAGCACTACGTCATGGTGCACGCGCCGCCGCCGGTGCTGACGGACGCGGACATCCAGCGCGGGCGCCAGCACATCTCCGTGCAGATCCTCGTCCGCGACGACGCGGCCGCGGAGCGCGCGGCCGCCGCGCCGGCCGCGGCGCCCGGCGACGCGTCCGTGTCCCCGAGCGCGTCCCAGGCGAGCAGCGTCAAGTCCACGGACGGCTCGACGCGCCTCGGCACGCTCCTCGTCGGCGCGGGCGTGTCGCTCGACGACCTGCGGGGCACGATCGCCCGCATGTACGCGCGGAAGGCGCCCGTCGAGTTCTTCTTCGCGTCGCTCCGCACGTCCCCGGGCCGCGGTTCGGGCGAGGCGCCGGCGCCCGAGGCGCCGGAGAGCAAGCCGACGACGCCCCTCTACGTCGAGGAGCTCGAGCCCATGCCCTTCGACGACGAGGGCGAGCTCAAGGTCGTCGACGTCGCCGACGAGCTCCCCCACCCGGAGGAGGACGCCGCGCCCCTCGTGCGCCGCTTCCGCATCTGCCTCATCGTGCCCACGGAGGACGCCCTGAGCCGCACGGACAAGTCCATCGCCGAGTTCTTCGGGTGAGGGCGCGCGAGGCGCGAGCGTAACTATCCCCGGCCAAAATCGCAATTGGCTTCAGGATTTGCTCGGCTCGCAGGCGCGGCTCCTCAATCACCGCCGGCTTGTGCGTTCACGACGATGCGCGCTGTCACTTTGCTCGCGTGCGCCACTTCGGTGGCATCGCTCGTCGTGCCGAGCACGAAGACGTCTTTGACGCGATGTGACGTGCGTTTTTTCGGCGTCCGGAGACCGATTCGCGGCGAAACGCGAGCTTGGCTTGATTTTTGGCCGCAAACGAGAGGCGCGGCGCGAGATCGACCGCGCGGTGGCCGTCGCCGGCCGCGCACTCCCGCACCGATGCACGCGCGCCGCTCCCGCCGCGCCCGACCCTCCGGGCGCCGCCGCGCGCGCGCGAGCGGCTCCGAAACGCCGCGATCCGCAGGCCAAGTCGAAGTCGATGCCCTTCCTCGAGTGCCCCGCGGCGCTGGACGGCACGCTGCCCGGCGACGTGGGCTTCGACCCCCTGCGGTTCACGGACCTCGACTGGAACATGGCCGAGGTCATCATCCCCGCGAAGTCGATCTCCGCCACGGAGAGCCTGCCGATGGTCTACTGGATGCGCGAGGCCGAGCTCAAGCACGGGCGGCTCTGCATGCTCGCCATCGTCGGCTACCTCACGGTCGACGCGGGCATCCACTTCCCCGGCGCGCGCTACGAGGGCCTCTCGTCGCTCCAGGCGCACGACGCCATGGTCGCGTCCGGCAACATGGGCTTCATGCTCCTCGCCGTGGGCGTCCTCGAGCTGCTGAGCATGGTCGGCGTCGTCCAGGCCGCCAAGGGCTCGGGCCGCAAGGCCGGCGACTTCTCCTGGGACCCGCTCTACTTCACGCAGGGCGCCAAGGCGGACTTCTTCTTCGAGGCGGAGATCCAGCACGCGCGCCTCGCCATGCTCGCCTTCTCGGGCCTCGTCACCCAGTCCGCGCTCCTCGAGAAGGGCTTCCCCTACTTCTAGGCGGCGGGCCCCCGCGCGCGAGCCGGGCCGCCGCCGGCTCCGGGAAACGCCGGACACCCCGCGGGTCGCCTCGCCGACCGCTTCTCCTAACACACGGCCCGCATCCGCCTCTCTCAGGGGCGCGCGACCTGCGCGCGCGCGAGGGCGCGCGCCGGCACGGCGAGGTCGTCGCCGTCGGCGTCGTCGTCGGCGTCCGAGACGGCCATGTCGTCGTCGTCGGACTCGTCCGAGTCCTCGACGACCGCCGCGAGCGCCCGCGGCGCCGGCTCCGGTTCCGCGCCGGGGTCCGCGCGGTGGGAGGAGCAGGCGGCCGCCGGGCGCGCGGCAGCCCCGGCGCGGCGCGCGCGCCGCCGCCCACGGCGTCGGCGCGCGCGGCGGCGGCGCCGCCGCCACGACCGGGGCCGCGGGGGCCGGGCGGACGACGGGCTTCGCCAGGGCCTGGCGGAAGGTCATGGCGAGGCCCGCGGGCCCGCGCGCGGGGCCGCCGGCGCCGACGCGGGGCCAGCCGCGGCGCGTGCTCACGGACACGTCGTCGTCGTCCTCCTCCTCCTCGTCGTCGGACACGGTCGCGACGCTGCCGAGGTCCGAGACGTGGTCGACCAGGTCGCCGCCCGTGAGCCAGTTCGGCTCGTGGCGGACGGACGCCCAGGACGACGCGTCGTCGTCGACGTCCTGCCAGCTCTGGGAGTCGCAGACCGACGGGCGGCGCTCCGACTGCCAGCCCTGGGAGTCGCAGTCGACCCAGGACCCCCCGCACTCCGACGCGGGGGCGCGGGGGGGCGCCGAGGTCAGCCACCACATATCCAGCACCGATGCCGAACAAAGCAAGATCTCGGCAGCCCACTAAAAGCTTTAATTGAAGGCACCTTTGCCGTTACTCCAAACAGTGCAGTACACTTCGAGGCCAAACGATGGGCGCTTCTGTCTCGACGCGCAAGCGCGCCACCAAGGACGCCGAGCGCGCGTCCTCGGGCGTCGCGCGCATCGACGCCGACGCCAACGGCGACCTGCGCGCGGCGGCCGCCGCGGTGCTCAAGGAGGCCCTGGAGACCGACGACGTCCTGCGCGCGGCGCTCAAGGCCTGGCTCAAGGCGCGCATGGCCGAGGAGAACTTCGACTTCGTCCTCGCCGTGCGCGCCTTCGAGCTCGACGACTGGTCCGCGACGGCGGCGGAGCACATCTACGACAAGTTTGTCAAAACAGGCGCGGACCGGGAGGTCACGCTCTCGCGCAAGACCTGGAGCGACGTCACCAACGCCCTCGTCACGCGCCCCCACCCGGCGAACGCGCGCCCGACCCTCTTCGCCCAGGCCGTCGTCGAGGTCACGAAGCACCTCCTCTTCGACGTCGGCGACTTCGTCGCGGAGCGCCGCGTCGCCGCGTGATCGCGCCGACGCGCGCGCCCCGAGAGCGCACCAAGTCCCCAGTCCACATCTCCCCCCGCGCCGCGCCCGATTCTCGCTGGTAGTAACGAGTCGTGCCGCCGCCGCGGAGCGTGGGCGCGCGTGGACGGCAACATCTCGGCAAAGTCCCAAGGTGAAGTGGCAGTCCGGGGCGCGAGGCAATGGTGCGTCCGAGCATCGCCTTCTTGGCGGCCTGCGCCGTCCAGACCAGCCGCGCCTGGCTCGCCGCACTGACCAGACCAGCCATTTCGTCGCGGCGCGTCGCCCTGCGCGTCGAGGTGCCGTCGCTCTACGAGGAGGCGGAGAAGGCGCTGACGAATCGCGGCGAGTTCGAGGAGGAACTGCTGGGCGCGGGCGGGCCGGCGCTCGAGGCGACGGCGGGCCCGCTGGCGGCGGCGCTCGCCGCCGAGGGCGTCGCGCGCTGCGACGGCGCGCTGCCGCGGGCGCAGGCGGAGCGGTTGAAGATTTTTGTGGGCGAGGAGCTCGCGCGCGCGGAGCTCCACACGCAACTCGGCCTCGTGCCGCCCGAGTGCCGCTTCGCCGAGGTGCTCCTCAAGGCGAACCGGCGGGACCTCCTCATGCCCCTCGACCACGACCTCGTCTTCGACGCCGCGCTCGCGCTCGTCCGCTCGCCCGTCGGCGACGCCGTCGCGGCGCACCTCGGCGACGACGCCGAGCTCTACGAGTGCAGCGCGCTCTTGGCGGAGTTCGGCGCGCCGCGCCAGGTGCTGCACCCGGACACGCCGCAGCACGCCTGCGGCGAGACGCCCCTCGTGACCTGCTTCTGCGCGTTGCAGGACGTCGACCCGGAGACGATGGGGCCGACGCTGTTTTTGCCGCGGACGTTCGACGAGGACTCGCACGCGGCCTTCTTCGACGCCCGGCGCAAGGACGCCTTCCTCGCGGACGTCGCGCCGCGGAGGCGGCGGTCGCTGCTGCGCGCGGGCGACGTCTCCATGTTCGACAGCCGGAACTTGCACTGCGGCACGGCGAACCGCGCCGAGGGCACGCGGCGCGGCCTCTTCTACCTCACCTTCAAGCACCCGGCCGTCATCGACCCGGGCAACCCGCCGAGCCTGCGGCCCTGCTTCCGCGGGGGGCTCACGCTCGCTGACCTGCGCTCGCGCGACGCGCGCGCGAAGGTCGACGCGCTCGCGGAGGCCGACGTCCGCGCGGCGCCCCCGGCCCCGCCGCCGAAGAAGAAGAAGAAGCAAGCGAAGAAGAAGAAGGGGTTCGGGTAATTTCGCCTCGGAAGACGGGGTTCGGGTACACGCTTTACTTCGCCTCGTACCAGGTCGCGGCCGTCTTCGCGTCGACGGTGAGGTCGACGTGGAGCGGGTCGAGGCCGATGCCGTCGAAGGGCGCCTCCATGAGCTTCGTGACCTCCGCGAGGGCCGCCTCCTTGTGCTGTTCGGGCCCCTCGAGGATGACCTCGTCGTGGATCTGGAGGAGGAGCGTGTAGCCCAGGTCCTTGAGCGTTTTGGACTCGGCGATCTTGAGCATGGCCATCATGACGACGTCCGCCGCGGAGCCCTGGATGGGCGTGTTGATGGCCGCGCGCGCGCCCCGGCCCTGGAGGGCCCGGTTCTTCTCGAGGATGTCGGGCAGGTTGCGCCGCCGGCCCATGAGCGTCGTCGTGTAGCCGGTGCGCTTCGCGTCGGCGATCGTCCGCTTCTGCCACGCCTCGACCTCGGGCCGGTCGTCGTACCAGGCGCGGAGCATGTCCTGGGCCTCCTCCTGCTTGACGCCCCAGTCTTTCGCTAAACCGTGGGCCGTCTTGCCGTAGGCGATGGAGAAGTTGAGCGTCTTCGCGCGGCGCCGCTCCGACGCGTAGACGTCCTTGACGAGCGGCTTGTCGGAGTCCTCGGGCGACGACCCCTTCTCCAACAGCACGGCGCCGCTCTCCACGGCCTCGCGGACGTGGTCGAACATGCCCACGGCCGTGCGGCTGTGGAAGCAGCCGCCCTCGCGGAACGCGACGAGCATCGACTCGCACCTGGCGACGTGCGCGAGGAGCCGGAGCTCGAGCTGCCCGTAGTCCGCGACGACGAGCGCGCAGCCCTCCTTGGCCCGGAAGGCCTTGCGGATGAAGTACTGGTCCTTCTCCAGCGCCGGCTGGTTCTGCAGGTTCGGCCGCCGCGACGAAAGGCGGCCCGTCTCCGTGTTGAGGTTCAGCGAGCAGTGCACGCGCGACTCGTCGTCGGCTAAGAGCCGCAGGGGGTTGATGAACGTGTTGAGCATCGTGTCGATGGAGCCCATGTTGCACAGCGCGTCGAGGGCGACGCAGGCCTCCTCGCCCGCGGGCCCGCCGCCGAAGCCCGCGTGCGCCGCGCCGTAGACGGGGGGATCGTCCGTCGGCCGCCCCGCGAGCTCCCGGAGCACGTCCGCGGTGCAGCTCGGCGCGCCGGACGTCGTGTACTTTGTCGGCGTCAGCCCGACGGAGCGCACGAGGAGCTTGCGCGTGCGCTTCGCCGCGGGCCGCGGCACCTCGAAGAGCTCGCCGTCGTCCAAGACGGGCGGCGGCGCCGCCGGCGCGGCGCCGAGCGCGGCCTCGGCCGCGGCGGCGTCGAGGAAGGCCGCGAGGGACGCGGCGTAGGCGTCGTCGTCCGTGAGCGCCGCGAGGAGCAGGTCGCGCGGCGCGCCGCGGGGCACGTCGAGGCACCGGGCCTTCGCGGCCGCGCGGAGGCCCGCGTCGTCGAGGTCGGCGTAGACGGCGTGGATCGGGTGCGCCGCCGCCGCGGGCGCCGGCGCCGGCGCGGCGGACGCCGCCGCGGACGCCGCGGCCGCGCGGTAGGCGCCGAGGTCGTCGACGAGGCGCTGCCGCAGCTCGGCCTTCCTGCCGCCGAGCTTGAGCTTCCGCGCGCGGAGCGCGTCCTTGAGCGCCGCCACCGTCGGCAGCGCCTCGATGGCCTCGAAGGCGAGGGGCGGCGGGCCCGCGGGGGGCGCCGCGCCGGCCTCGGCCGCCGGCGCCGCGGCCGCGGGCGCCGCGTCGTCGTCTCGGAGCCGCGCGACGACTTCCGCCTTCGTGCCGGACAGCTTCAGCCCGCGCTTCTTGAGCTCCTCCTTGAGGCGCGCGGCCGTCGCGAGGGCGTAGAACTCGTCGCGCCCCACGAGGAGCACGTCGGACGCGCCGTCGTCGCCGTCGGGCAGCAGCTCCGGCGGGAGGTCGACGTCGAACTCGCGCTCCGTCTCGAGGTACTCGCCCGTCTTCTGGTTCATCGCGCCCCCGAAGAGCAGGGTCTGGATCTGCTTCGACGACGCCGGGTTGAGCAGCGCGCCGTCGGGCCCCATGCGCTCGACGGCCCAGTCGCGGAACGTCTTCAGCGCCGCGGCCTTGTCCGCCGTCGCCGCCTTTTCGACGTCCGTCAGGTGCGACGCGGCGTCGACGTAGATGCCCGCGGCCTCCATGTCCGTGAGGACCTTCCCAAAGGGGACGAAGTACCGCTCGTAGAAGTCCCACATGGTCTTGGGCGTCTCCGGCGACCGCGGCGGGTCGTCGGTCATCGGCGCCCACGCCTGGCGCTCGAGCCGCCGCCGGAGCGCGTCGTGGACCTGCCACGTGGACTTGGCGTCGTAGGCCGCGTAGCACACGAAGGCGTCGCGCGTCGCGTCGTCGGTCTGCATGCGCAGGATGTCGAGGCCGCGCCGCGCCGCGTCGCGCGACGCCGAACCGTTGGCCCGATCCGCGAAGGCCGTCTTCCGGAAGAACTCCGGGAACAGCGCCTTCATGGACACCTTGGCCTCGCCGGCGGAGATCAGGTCGCGGCTCAGCGCCTCGAGGGAGTAGCCGTCGCCGCCGTGGGTCCGGAGCCGCGACGAGTCGTGGAGCCGCGCCATGTGCATCGTGTCGCCCGCGAAGCCCCGGCAGGCGAGGCCGTGGTTCTCGACGACGTGGCGGTCGAAGCCGTAGTTGTGCCAGACCTTGCGCCGGGACTCGTCGGCGAACCAGGGCGCGAAGACGTCGAGGACCGCGGCGTCGACGCAGTCGACGAAGAGCGCCTTGCCCGCGGCCTCGCCGTCGTAGGAGAAGTCGGGGCCGCTGTAGACCGTGAAGCACGTCACGCGGCCGTTGCCCACGGGGCCCTCGCGGCTCAGGTCGATGTCGTCGACCTCCGTGTCGACGGCGTGGTAGATCGCCGGGTCCGCGGCCTCGAGCCGCGCGAGCACGGCCTCGGCGGCGCCGACGCTGTCGCAGACGTAGACCTCGTCGAGCGCGATGGGCGGCCGCACCCCGCCGTCGGTCGTCGGCGCCGGCGCCGACGGCGGCGCCGCGGCGGCGGCGACCTCGGGCTCGGCGTAGGCCGACGCGAGCGACGCGCGCCGCCGGCCGGGGCCGAGGCCCGACGCGCGCCGGCCCGCCGCCGCCGGCACGCGCGCGAGGCGCGCGAGGCGCCGCCCGCCGAACGCGACGGCGCGACCGAGCATCGTCGCGAGCAATGCGAGCCCTGCGCGGCGTGCGCGGCGCATGCGGGTCGCACCGCGGGAGGTCTCGACGGCCGCTGTTTCGAGCTCTCCACCTTCGCGCCGATTTGGGTCAACTTGAGCTCAACATGGTCGATTGATGAAGGTCAAAATGATCTGTCAAAATCAAAATGAGCTGACCCGGTCGCGCGGAAGACGAGGCGCGTCCCGTTGCTGAAGGCCAGCGATCGGGCCGAGTTTTACGCGTCGCGGCGCTCCAAAAGTACGTAGCGGCGCGGTGAAAGTTGTGAAAAGGTCACGCGAACGCCTCCGCGCGGCATCGGCCGACGCCCGGCTCGATGGTCGCCGGGTCCTCGATGTAGGACTGGTGCTCGAGGAAGATCGCCAGGTTGTGGGCCGCCCAGGCCTCGCAGTAGGGCACCGCGCCCGGGAACCGCCTCCGCCGCGCGACGTACTCGGAGACGAGGAGGTACTTGTAGCCGAGGGCGCGCTCGTCGTGGTTGCGGCCCGCGTGCCGCTGGTTCGTGAGGATCGGGATCGACCCCGCCATGATGGCCTCGAAGAAGCGCAGGGACCAGGGCATGTCGCCCGCGGGCGCGAGCGTGAACCGGGACCGCGCGAGCTTCTCGTAGTACGTCGGGTCGCAGGTCGCCTTGCGGCACGTGTGCCGCGTGACGTTGGCGACGTTGACCCGATTCGAGAACTTCTCGTTCATGGGCCGGAAGCCCGCGATGGAGCCGTCGGCTTCCACGGACGCGTCGTAGGGCCCGAGCCTCTCGTAGCCGGCCGCGTCGCGCACGGACGTGTCGACGAGGAGCGACGTGTCCGAGAACCACTTGCGCACGAAGGGCAGGAGCCAGAGGCGCATGCGCGTGGCGATGCGCGTCGCGAAGTCCCGGGGGTCGAAGTCGTCGCGGAGCGCGTGGTTGACCAAATTCACGCCCGGCTGGCGGTCGAGGCGGCCGATGAAGTTGACGTCGACGTCGCGCGTCGACGTGGACGCGTAGTAGCGCGCCGCCTCGATCTGCGACCGCGGGTACATGAGCTTGCGGTCGCGGACGCCGTGCGCCGCCTCCTCGGCGGCGTCCGGTTTCGCGAGATCCTCCTTCGTCTTGAGCCCGCCGTGCAGGTTGTGGACGCAGCAGGCCGCGTGCATGGCGGCGCTCGTCGTCTCGTCGTCGGGCGCCGCCGCGCGGTGCGCCTCCTGGAAGCGGCCGAAGCACGCGGCCTGCACCGCGCGCGGGCCCGGGAAGGTGTCGCGGCCGTCGTCGTCGTAGGCCCGCGGCGGCGGGTCGTCGCAGAAGTGGGACGCGCGGGCCGCGGCCGCCGTCGCCGCCGCGACCTCCGGCGCGATCATGGCGCACTGCTTGTTCGGCGTCGGGTCGTCCGTCGCGAGGAAGTGGCCGTCGCAGCACTTGAGGCAGGCGTTCGCGCACGCCTCCTTCGCGGGCACGCCGTCGGCGCCCGTCTGCCGGCAGAGCCGGATGCGCTGCTCGGGGAAGCTCTCCCGGATGTTCGCGCAGGTCCGCGTCCCGCCCTTGGGGAAGGTAAACGCCCAGGCGGGGTCGTCGACCTGCCGAAACGGACAGTCGATGGCCTTCCACAGGAAGCGGAACCAGTAGCCCTTCGTGCCCCGTGCCTTGGAAAAAAACCCACCGGTCGTATTCTTCTTCTTCTGCTCCTGAAACCAGTCGGCGGAGATCGAGGAAACGAGGAGTATGAGATAGTGGCGGCGGTGCATGCTCTCTGCTCTTCGACCTCTCACCACAAGCTCGACGCTTGCTTTGGCTAGGGGGGGACACTGAAAATCGGCCGATCGCAGATCGTCGAATTTGGCGGCGCCGCCCAGTGCGATGGATAGAGGGCATCTAGCTGATAATCAAAGAGTCTGGGTTCGTGGAAATCGATCCGGATTTCGTAAAGTTATGGCTTCGCGAAGCCTCGGTTTTTTTCCTATGGGGCTGGACGAATCCCATTTCGTTCAAGGCTGGAGAATGTTGAAAATCGCGCCGTGTACACCCGCGTTTTCTTTTATATGTTCCATGGGGCCCGGCCCAACGTCGATCGAGCCAAAAATCTTGGGTGTACACGGCCGGGAAGTCGACCTACACGTCTCAGGCGTAAACAGAGACCCCAGGCGAAATTTGAGGTAATTATCTTCTGTCCGAGCTTCATTGTCCGCCCCTACTTTGGCGAGCGTCCACAACATGTCCACAGCCATCGTTGCGACGCGACGCCCGCTCTGCCGGAGGCGCCCGCGCGTGATGTCCTTCTGTCTCGTCGGCCGCGGCGCAATCCTCCTCGCGACGCTCTTTGTCGCCGGCGCGACGGAGTCGCTCCCCTGGCTCTGCGACGAGCGCGGCGGGTGCTGGCCCCAGACCTGGATCATCGGCGGCATGAAATGTGGATCGACCTCGTTTTTTCACTGGCTCCACTACAATCGGGGCGTCTGCGCGGCCGCCGTCGTCGAACACGTGTCGTCGAACAGCAAAGAAACGAATTTTTGGACGCGCAACTCGACGCGCAACAGCGACGGCGCCGCGTTCCCGGCGCTCTACCCGGCCGCGCGGCGCGGCGAGTGCGCGGGCGGCTTCGTCGAAGCGACGCCGACGAACATGCGCGTCCCGGCGACGCCCGGCGCGCTCGCGGCGGCCCTGCCCGCGGCCTTCCGCGGCGCGCTCCGCTTCGTCGCCGTGCTCCGCGAGCCCGTGTCGCGCGACGTCTCCGACTACTACATGCAGAAACGGCGTGGAGAAAAAAAGGGGAAAGGCGCGGGCTGCCCGGCCTGCCGGGGCCACATGCAGCGCTACGAGACCTTCGCGGCCTGCCGCCTCGACCGGGCGGCGGCGGCCCTGGCGGCGGGCGGGCGCAACGGGACCTGGGCCGAGGCCTACGACGTCTACCGCCGCAAGTGCGCGGAGGGACTTCATAGCGGATTTTACGCGCGCCAGCTCGAGAACTGGGTCGCCCACTTCCCGCGGCGCCACCTCTTCGTCGTCGAGCTCGGCTGGCTCGCAACGCGCTTCGACGACGCCGCGCGGCGCGTCTCCGCGTTTCTACGGCTGCCCGCGCCGGCCGGCGCGGAGGCGTTCCCCGACACGGGGCACAATCGCACCAAAGGCCAAAAGACCATCGCCTGCGCCGTGCGCGACCGCCTCGAGGCGCTCTACGCGCCGGAGAACGAGCGGCTCTACGCGTTCCTCGCCGCGGAGCAAGGGCCGGACGACGAGCCGCCGTTCCCGCGCTTCGCGCGGTACCCCTGCGAGGAGGGGTAGGTGCGCGTAGCGACATGGATCCGTGGTGGGGAGTCCTGTCGTCGTCGCTGGCGAGCATCGGCGAGGGCGGAGGGCCTCGAGCAGCGCCTCGAGCAGCGAGGACTACAGCGAGACGACCGCTACGCGGCAGTCCTCCCAGCCAGGGGCCCTGGGCCGGCTCGGGGGGGCGCCGGCGCCGCCCTGTGGGGCAGATCATCGCTAGTGGGGGCGCCCGGGCCTGCGTGACTGGCGAGCAATACACGGTCCATCTTCGCTACGCGCGCGTGATGCGTTTCTTCTTCGTGCGGGTCGCGCTGGCGGCGGCGGTCGGTGGGAGCTCGAACCGGACGACGTACGACCGAAGACGGACGACCGAGCCGTACGGCCGAGGAGAGATCTGCCGGGCGGCGGTGGGCGCGGACGCCTCGTGGCCGCGGACCCTGGTCTCCTCGGCCATCAAAAATTCGATTTCAGAGGGGCTGCGCAATAAACCCGGGCAGGGCCTCTACCCGCCCGCGGACCGGATCGTCGGCGACGTCGTCTACGGCCTCGACTTCTTCGGGCCGGTCTCGCGGGCGATCGCGGCGCGCGGCGAACCAAGCGACCTCCTCGCCACGTGCGTGCGCGCCGCGGCCGAGGGCCGGCCTCTCCGTATCGCCGTCGCCGGCGGCAGCGTCACGTACGGCCGCCAAGCGTGCGATCCCATGAAGGAGGGGAATTCGAAAGGGAAAAAGGGCGCAGAGTGCGCTTGGCCGACGCTGCTCCCGGCCGTGTGGAAGGCCGCGGGCCTCGCGCCCGTGGTCGACATCCTGAACTTCGCCAGGCCTGGCCACAATATCGAGATGATGCGGCTCATCATGATCGAGCACGATTTCAGCGGCTGGGCGCCGGACGTCGTCCTCGTCGCGACGAGCACCAACGACAATTACGCGGCGAAAAACGCCGAGAACAACTACGCGCTCGTCGCGGCGCGCGTCGAGGACTTCGTCAAAGACGTCGGGGAACGCGTCGCCGACTGCGCCGGCGGCACGCGCCCCGCGTTCGTCTTCTTCGAGGAATCGCTCGCCGGCCTCGACGGAACGGTCGAGGGCGTGAACGACATTCACCTCGCCCAGGGCGTCCACGAGCGCGTCGCCGAGGAGACGCTGAGCCCCGTGATCTCGTGGCGCGACATCATGGAGCCGGTCTTCGGCAAGGGCGCGACGGCGGCGCGCGTCGACAAGGTCTGCAAAAACTCGACGCACTCGCTCTGCCCCGCGCCGCGCGGAAATCAAACCTTCGACCCGACTTCAACGTGCGCGGAATCGAAGGGTGTGGACCGGACTCTTCGGCCGTGCTTCGAGGACTCGACGAGAGAAAACGACTCGTCCAAAAATCAGCCGAATCGACTTCGATGCGACCGAGCTCGAGCGTTTCGAAGTCCGGCCCCGACGGCCCGGCTCACCGGTCGATTCGCACGCAGGCCTCGCGCTTGGCTGGCGCGGCGCGGGGTTGGAGAGGGAGGAGGGTCACGACGTTCACCCGCCGTTTCCCGTCCACGTGGCGTGGTCCATCACGATCGCGCGCGCGGTCGCTTCGCTGCTCGTCGACGCGTGCGCGACGCCGCCGCCGCTCGCGCGGGCGCCCGGCGCGCGCCGGCTAGCGCGAAAAAAGGCGGACACGTGCGTCGCGTGCTCCTTCTCGTGGAACGCAGACGCCCTGGATCCGAGCAACTTCGCGGGCCACGAGGGTTGGATCCTCGACGCGGACCACGACAAGCCGGGCTGGCGGACGACCGCGGCCGTCGAGGCCGGTCCCCTCACGACGGTCGGCTTCCCGTGGCCGTCGAAGAGCCGGACGAAACCCGAGCTGTCCGTCGCCTACATGGTCTCCTACTCGGCGGCCTGGGGCGAAGCGACGATCGAGCTCCTCGAGGGCGACAGCGACGGCCGCGCGTGGATCGTGCGCGGCGCCGTCTTCGCCGACGCGCGCGGCACGGCGCACGTGTCCGTCTTCAACATCGTCAAGCTGCCCCTGCCGGAGACACCACCGACACGGAAGACTGCGCTCGCCGCCGTCCGCATCACGCTCAAAGAAAAGGGGGCCGTCTTCAAGGTGGCGACGATCACCGCCTGTTGAATCCCGCGCTCGACGACGAGCGGTGCGGATTGCGCACGTAACCCCCACTCGTGAACGTTAGTAGCGAACTGTCGACGGGCCCCTGCACGACGGTCCGGCCCCGGGACGGGGGCCGGGGACGGCGGGCACGGGGGTTCCGGTACGGTAAATGCGCTCCGGGCACGCGGCCCGGCACGGGCCCGGCACGCGGCACGGCACTCGGCACGGGCCCCCGGGCACGGGCCGGGCACGGGCCACGCGGCCCGGCACGGGCCCGGCACTCGGCACGGGCCCCGGGCACGGGCCGGGCACGGGCCGGGGAGGCCCGGCACGGGCCCGGCACGGGGCCCCGGGCACGGCCCGGGCACGGGCCGGGGACGTGGCCGGGGACCGCGGCACGCACCGTTGTGCAGGGCCCCCTCTGTCGGTGCGTGAACGACCTCGGCCGGCAAATTCTCAGTACCCTAGTGGGGCTAGGCAGATCGCTCTCAGAGACCTGAGAAGCTCTCCGTGCCGCCGTCCGCCCCAAGCCCGCCCCGTACATCTCCTACACACGCGTAATGGACACCGTGGACGCCGGACGTCACAAGGTCGACGAGATCCTGCTCGTCGATGTTTTCGCGGGACGCCCCGAGGCGATGGCGAAAGCACAGGCGTGGCTCGCCGCGGAGAATCTAAGCCTCGCCGAGGTGGCGGAGGAGGGCATGGAGGAGTTCTTCGAGAAGTTTATCCACAGCTTGGGGTACGAGACCGCATCGAACCGGAAGCTCATCGCGGCGCGGATTCGACTCAAGTTGGGCGTCGCGGCGCCGGACGTCGACGAGGCGCCCCCGGCCGCCCCGCCGGCCCTGACGCCCCCGGCGCCCCCCGCGGCGCCCCGCGCGGAGAAGCGCGACGCGCCCGCGGCGCCGCCGGAGCCGCGGAAGAAGCCCAAGGCGGAGGTCATCGACCTCGCGGCCGACGACGACGTCGACCTCGCGCGCGAGCGGCGCCGGTCCGGCGGCCAGGCGCCGGTCGCACCGGTCGCGGCCGACGACGACGTCGACCTCGCGGCGCTCGCGCGCGCGCGCGAACGGCGCCAGTCCGGCGGCCAGGCGCCGGCCGCGGCGCCGGCGGCCGCGGCGCCGGCGGCCGCGGCGGCCGCGGGCGGCCCGCTCGCCGTGGCCATGGGCCCCGTGCTCAAGAGCATGTACTCGAGCCCGCACGTGCGCGCCGCGGACCAGCTCATCCGCGCGGAGACGTCCGCGCTCGACACGCCGCGCGCGACGTGGTACTGGGGCATCGCGGGCTGGCTCCACGTCTCCGCGTCGGGCCAGGTCTCCGGCGGCGGCGACAAGACGCAGATCTGCCACAGCCTCTGCGGCGACTTCAACAAGTCCGCCGCGCGCATCGACGAGAAGAAGAGCGCCAACTACCGGGCCTACTCGACGCACGCGGCCGTCCCGGATCGGCTCAAGCCCGTGGGCTCGTCCGAGTACACGCCCATCGGCACGAGGCACGACTGGCTCTACGTGACGCCCGAGGAGAGCGCGCGCCGCGGCCGGACGTGCGAGATGACCGTCGGCGGCAAGCGCGTGACGCTGCGCGACTTCCGCTGGGAGGAGGTCAAGACGCCCGCCTGCTGGCGCTACAGCTGGCGCGCGCGCTGCGACGAGGCGGCCTGGGCGACGAAGCTGCCGCCGGGGTCCTACGTCGTCGCCGCCGACCAGCGCGCCGTCCAGCTGTCGGGCAACGGGAAGCCCTACGTCACGCGCCTCGTGGGCCAGTTCTACCCGTGCCCGCGCGTCACGCAGCCGCCGGACAACGAGGAGGACGCGCGGCGCCACCTGGCGACGCTGCTCGCGCGCGGCGGCGGCGCGAGCGGCGGCAGCGACGACCTCCGCGAGTACGGCATCGTCGGGACCGGCGGCGGCGGCCGCGTCCTCGGGGGCGGCGGCCGCGTCCTCGACGGCGGCGGCTCGCCCGGCGGCCTCGGCGCGGCGCCGGCGGCCGCCGCGGCGCCGCGGGCGCCCCCGCGGGCGGCGCCGGCGGCCGCCGCGCCCGCGTCGCCGACGGCGTACCCGGCCGGCGGCGGCGGCGCGGCGCTGTCCTGGGCCGCCCGGCTCACCGCGGCGGGCTGGGGCGGCGTCGACCTCGCGTCCCTGCCCGCGCCGGGCTCGGGCTTCCCGACGGAGGACAAGGTCATGCGCTGCTTCGAGGCCTTCCCCGGCGGGCCCGGCGCCGTCCGCGCGGTGCTCGTCGGCAAGGCGCCCTACCCCAACGCGCAGCAGGCCCACGGCCTCGCGCTCTCCGCGCCCGACGGCGCCAAGAAGCCGCCGTGCGTCAACACGTGGCTCTACAACCACCTCAAGAGCGACCCCGACTGCGGCTTCGGCGGCCGCAGGCCGTCGTCCTGCGACCTCACGCCCTGGTCCCTGCGGGCCGGCGTGCTCCTCTTGAACTCGGCGCTCCAGGGCGCCGAGTCCAACGCGCCCCGCTGGCGGCGCTTCCTCCAGTCCGCGATCCGCCGCATCTGCGCCGCGGCCGACGCGCGCGGCACGCCGACGGCCTTCATCTTCCTCGGCAAGGGCGCGCCCGCGGACCTCGCCTCCGCGGTCTCGGGCGCGAGCCGCGCCTGCGTCGTCCGCGCGCCGTTCCCGGGCCAGTTCACGCGCGACGAGTTCAACGACGCGCGGCCCTTCGCGACCGCGAACACCATGCTCGCGGCCCACGGCGCGGCGCCGATCCCCTGGAACGTGCTCCTGTCCTGAGGCAGCCCGGGCCAAGCCCGCCCCAGCCTGCGAAAGGTTACGAAGTCCCTCTCCTCCATGTAAAATCACGAAGCTGTTTTTGCTTTCGGCGAGCCTCTCCACAAAACAAGACCCCGCCCTCATGTCCGCCGCAGGGCGTCGTGCGTGCCCTAAGACGTAGGCCATGGCACGGACATATCACGCGCTCTTGGAAGACGGCGTGTCTGTTGTCTTCCACTGCTTGCTCCGTGCGTGCATCATCTTGCGCGCGATTTTATTCGCCGGCCCGAGACTCACGCTCTATGACGCCCTCGCCGGGTTGTGGGCGATACCGCAACTCCTCCTCTACGCTCTTGGTATGAGCTTAGGGCAGCCCGTTCGGCGATTCTACAACAAAGCCGATCCCAAGCTCCTGCCTTGGGATTTGGCCGCGGCGCGCCGGAGGAGACTCAGACGACGTGGCATCGACGAGCCGGATTCTCGACGCGAGTGGATGTTGCGCTCACTTAGAAGCATTTGGATCGAGCATGCGCGAAACATTGTCTGGAACTCGACCCTTTGGGTAGCGCAGCGGCGACATGATTACGGCGAGCCGAGGCTGACGATGTGCGAGCTGATGGCCGTGCATGAAGACGAAGTCGATTCGGGTTACCCAGGCGGGCACAGCTTGCTCACGACCGCGGCAAAGCAAGGCCACGTGGAGATTGTGACCATCCTCATCCGGCGCAAGGTGTCGCTCGAATTCTCCTACCGACAGAGAAATGCGCGGGCAATTGGAACGGATGTCGACAAGGACGCGCCGACGGCCGTAGTTATCGCGTTGGACGCGGGACATCACGAAATCGTGCGATTGCTTCTGCGAGCAGGTGCGCGGCGGCGTTGCCCCGAACTCCGCCGGGAATACCGGAAAATGCTGTGGTGGGAACTCGTGCGCGCCCGAAGCCTCGCGGAGGCCGGGCGCGGCGCGCCCATCAGCGATTCGCTGCAGATCATCAGTGGCGTCCACGGTTACCTCCCCGACGGGCCGTTCAATGCCATCTTGATGTTCCTCTAATTTTTTCGCGGCCGACCGCGCGGCTCAGGTGGTCTCCGTGCCGCAGGATCTTGACACGTGTCATTGGAACCAACGAACCGACCAAGATCTCTTCGAGGCCTCGCTACGACCTAAGCAAACAAGAAGCTTAGTCCGCCCGCGTCACCGCGAGCGCCCAGGTCGCCGCAGCGGGTCCGCCGTCTGGCGCCGCGCGCTCCGCGGCGTAGAGGCGGCTCGGCGTGTCGTGGCCGCCGTGCCAGAGGACGTACTCCTTCGACGCCGGCGGCGGGAGGTCGATGCCGCCCCCGTCGTCGTCGTCGTCGTCCTGGAGCGCCGCGAGGAGGCGGCAGACCGCGCCGCGGTCCTCGGCGCCGTCGACGGCGAAGGCCGCGGCGTCGAGCGCGCGCTCCGCGACGCGCGCGTCCGCGGCCGAGGCGTCGCCGCCGCTGCGCCGCAGCAGCGCCAGCAGCGCGACGGCGCGCGCGAGGTGGCGCTCGGCGGCGTCGAGCGCGTCCGCGAAGCGCGTCGCCGCGCGGAGCGTCGCGGGCGCGTCCGCGGCGTCGCCCGCGTCGAGCGGCGACGCGTCGGCGACGAGGGCCGCGAGCGCCGACGCCTGGGCGTCGACGTCGTCGAGCCGGGCGGCGACGGAGGGGAGGGCCGCCGCGCCGTGGAGCGTCGCGGCCGCGTGCTTGAGCGCGAAGACGGCCGTCGCCGCGCCGCAGGCCAAAAGCTGGCCCGCGACCCAGCGGGGCCGCGCGACCTCCAACCGGTGGAGCGCCGTCTCCGCCTCGCCCTCGGCGTCGAAGAGGGCCGCCGCCTCGGCCGCGGGCGTCGCTTTGACCGCGGACCAGAGCGCGACGACCGCGTCGTCGGCCGGCGCGACCTCGAGCGCGACGGCGTCGCCCGCGCCGCCGGCGTCGACGCTCCCGGGGCTCGCCCAGCCCCAAAAGTCGGCGAAGGCGCAGCCCGGGTTCGCGTCCTTGAACGCCGCGGCGTCGGACGCGAGCCGCGCGAGGTCGCGCTGCCTCGCGCGCTTCGCGGCGTCGTCGCCGCGGCCCGAGCGGACGAGGTGCGCGACCTCGAGGCTCGCCTTCCCGAACGCCGGCGCGCCGAGCTGCACCGCGGGCGAAGAAAGCGGCGCGCCGTCCGCGAGGCGCGC